ACAGTTCTAGTGATGAGTTTGCATTCAGTGTGACTGGAGCATTGTCACCCCCAATACATCTGTGCACTCTCCCTATGAGTCACTATTTTGAACGTGCCTCCTTTCAGTCTGGAGGCGTATATGGCGCAATGACACATGTAAAACCGGATGAGCTTTTCCTGTAAGAACTATTCTTCATTTGGCATAAACCTCTTGGAGAACAAGAAGGAGGGCTCTCCCAGAAGATGTTAGATCGCGGGGGGGGGGGGGGGGGGGGGGGGGGAGTGCTGCAGGTGTTGCATTTTTTCATTGCTTTTGTCTCTTAGGACACTGGAATGATCCAAATAATTTTCTGATACCTGCCATGGGAAACTCCTGACTCACTGCTCTTCTGCCCTGCTTCCTGGCATCCAACTTGTTTGTCACTATTGCAAAGAGCATCAGGCTCTGCCAAGCACTTACTGTTTAGTTCTCTACTTTGTAGTTGTAGTTCTTTGGATGTAATCATCAGACATCAACTTCACAGAAACTAACAGAATGGCAAAGAGGAAAGGAGTAACTGGTCTGAAATAAGCAACAGAGGAAGGCTGACAAATATTGCCATATAGCTAATGGAGAGAGGAACAGGAAGCAGTGAGGTTGGCGGTCTCATTGCTGAAATCTTCTGTTGCAAAGTCCTTGATCAATGTGCCTCGAGGCTGTATGCATGCATAACTGAGCCGAGGACAGCTTTGTGATATTAAGTTCTTCTCCATCTCTCTCACCTCAGTCATCCCAATTAGGAGATAAGCATAGAATCATAGAGTTGGAAGAGACCTCATGGGCCACCTAGTCCAACCCTCTGCCAAGAAGGTTGGACTTACATTTAAAGTGCCCCAAGCAGAAGGCCATCCAGCTTCTGTTTAAAAGCCTCCAAAGGAGGAGCCTCCACCACACTCTGGGGCAGAGAGTTCCACCGCTGAACAGCTCTCACAGTCAGGAAGTTCTTCCTGATGTTCAGATGGAATCTCCTTTCTTGTAGTTTCATAGAATCATAGAATCATAGAATCAAAGAGTTGGAAGAGACCACATGGGCCATCCAGTCCAACCCCCTGCCAAGAAGCAGGAATATTGCATTCAAATCACCCCTGACAGATGGCCATCCAGCCTCTGTTTAAAAGCCTCCAAAGGAGGAGCCTCCACCACACTGCGGGCCAGAGAGTTCCACCGCTGAACAGCTTTCACAGTCAGGAAGTTCTTCCTAATGTTCAGGTGGAATCTCCTTTCTTGTAGTTTGAAGCCATTGTTCCATGTCCTAGTCTCCAGGGCAGCAGAAAACAAGCTTGCTCCCTCCTCCCTATGACTTCCCCTCACATACTTATACATATCTATCATGTTTCCTCTCAGCCTTCTCTTCTACAGGCTAAACAAGCCCCAGCTCATGGGGCTTGTTCTCCAGACCCTTATAGAAAATCTGCTATGAAACACAATCACATTGTGTTTCATAGCTCATTTCCTAGCCCAGCATTATAATACTACCTCACACAGTATTTTCCCCCCTACAAGGCTTAAACAACCCACATACCCTTTCCCCAATGAGACAAAAAAACTAAAATTGAAAAGGAAAGGGAAGTGATTCATTTTTGGTTGAGTTGGTCACAATCATCCAACCGGCCTTGCAGGAAGGGGGAATGGCTGACACTCCTCTTCGTTGACCCTCCAAAGGACACAAATATTTCAGAAAATATTTACTTTTAAGCAGATAAGGAGATAACCTCCTTTATGTCTAAAATACAAGGCAATGTATAGGGATGTTACCCCATATCTGCTGGAAACAAACTTCTTACAGGTAAGGCCAGTGATTGATGTATTGTCGAAGGCTTTCATGGCCGGAGTCACGAGGTTGTTGTGAGTTTTCCGGGCTGTATGGCCATGTTACAGAAGCATTCCCTCCTGACATTTCACCCACATCTATGGTAAGCATCCTCAGAGGTTGAGGGTGCCTGCCGTAGATGTGTCTGCGGGTGAAACACCAGGAGAAAATGCTTCTAGAACATGGCCATACACCCTAGTAAACTCACAGCAACCCAAGGCCAATGATACTTTTTATTTCCAAGGCTCTTTTCCACCAAGCGTGGTTGTGCGTTTATATCAGAAAGAGAAGCCTTTGTCCTGACTACAGTAGACCCTCTGAATCATTTGCATTTTATAATGTGTTGTCTCCCCCCTTTAATAATTAATTCACTCTGTCTCTTCTAGTTTGGAGTAACCAGTAGGATTTTAGCGGGAGGCAAAGAAGAGGTGAAAAGAGTTGCCCAGAGCTCCTCAAAATCCAGCTAATGAATAGGCAAAATTCTCTCTGGACTATAAACTGAAACTAATGAGGGCTTTTTGTGTTGCTTTCAGGTACCTTGTAGCTGGGAAGAGCACAAGAGGACTGGCTATCCTTGGGCCAGAAAACCCCAATACTGCCAAAGACCCTTCGTGGGTGATACGATGATGTTTGCTGCTGTCTTGGTGTAGAGGATATCAAACCAATTCACGTGACAGATACCAAAATGACTTTGAAAAACCCATCTCCCTTTTGAAAGTGCTTTTTAAGACAAGAAGCCATTTCCACTCCGTTGTTTTAAAGAGCTTGGAATTGCTTTTTACTGAGGAAAGATTTTTGCAACAATACCCATCTTTCTTGAATCTCATAAGCAACAGTTCTAGATGATGATTGTAACTGCAGCCTGTCAGAACCATGGTTTGTTCTGACCAACTGATTATGTTTTACCTACATCATATTTTGGAAAAGCACAGAATGACACTGTACAGTGGCTGATTGTCAATCATGTCTGACTGAAGGAATATCACGTTTTTAACTAACCCTCCTGGGAACTGACATTCTTCTGTACTCATCCTTATAAATGTTTTTTTGTCTCAACTTTGTGCCATTAAATATTTCAACCCCTGATGAGTAGTTTATCATGGGAATTATCTTTCACAGAATTATATATTTATTGTATCGGAAGCGAACTGAGGGTACAGTTGTAATGTATTTTAAAACACAAACAAAATTTTAAAACTTGGAATTATACTAAGGATATTTAGTATAATCTTTCACATGAGGTGATACTAAAGGCAAAGATGAAAGACAGGCTTCTGTGTTTCCATTTTGATGACAGGATTGCATGAACATTTAACTCACTATTTTACTATAGAGTTGGCAGACATACAGTGCAGTGAGAATGCCAGACACAGTAAAGTTTGGACGAAGGGCAAGTTGTGAATCTATATTAATAAAAATGTAATATTCGTTTGTGGGATTAACATTACCCAAAAATCACTGGACGAACTGACACCAAATTTGGATATAATACACCTATCAGGCCAATGAGTGACCATCACTCATGAAAACACTGAAAAACACAGCAGAAGAGACTTTAAAAGCCCCAAAAATACATTACAACACATGTGCAAAACCACATATATAAATGCAAACACGCATATATACACTTATACACAAATATATACCCACACAATACACACACATATATACACACACAACACATATACACAAATTGGGCCACAGCAACACGTGGCAGGGGACAGCTAGTGAAACAAATACATCTTGAATCTGTACATACATTTTTAAGCAAGGGGTACAATTTGAGATTTAATTGTGAAATTCATCCTATATACTACTAGCCAACCTTCCTTGTATGTTGAGAGAGAGCAAAGCATCAATTTTAATGGTATTTCTTGTATTTTTAACTTTAAATACAGAAACTAATATGTAATTGTTTTTCATTTTTGTATTTATTTTAATTTTTTATTAGATTGTATGGTTGTTTACCACCTTGAGTCCCTGTGGAGAAAATGGTGGGATATAAATAATAACAACAAGCCAGCCCATTTAGCCTTGTGGGATCTTGGCTACTACAACTTCACCTTGTCTGGCAGTACATACACTATGCAGCTCCTGTGAGGAGCGGCTTAAAGAGCTGGCAATGCTTAGCCTGCAGAAGAGAAGGCTGAGAGGAGACATTATAGCCATGTATAAATGAGGGGAAGTCATAGGGAGGATGGAGCAGGTTTGTTTTCTGCTGCCCTGGAGACTAGGATGCAGAACAAGGACTTCAAACTACAAGAAAGGAGATTCCACCTTAACATTAGGAAGAACCTTGTAAGTGTGAGAGCTGTTCAACAGTGGAACTCTCTGTCCTGGATTGTGGTGGAAGATATTCCTTTGGAGGCTTTTAAACAGAGGCTGGATGGCCATCTGTCGGTGCTGCTTTGAATGCGATGTTCCTGCTTCTTGTCAGTGAGTTGGACTGGATGGCCCACGAGATCTCTTCTAACTCTAAATTGGCATGATTCTATGATTCAGTCAGTGTCATTACAGCAAATGGACTAGGAGGTGTCTTTAATCTATCCTTTTCGCTAGCTGTGTATTTACAGTAAAAATAACAATCTTTCTACATATTACTAGGGTCTACTTTGGAAGAATGCAGTGCCTTTAAACAATAGTTTGCGTATTGAACAAAGACAGGAGAAAGGCAGCTTGTGAGGGGCTGCATTTCTCTCAGCATTTGCAGTAGTGAAAGTTGATGGGATTTGCAGTCACGATGACATGCACTTCTGAACTAATGGGAGGAGGAAAGGAGAAATGAGGCTGGCCCTGGCCTGTGTGTCACTTGCTGACTTTTAGTGACCTCATGCATTTTATAGATTTTTCTTAAGCAAGGAAAACTCAAAATAGTTTTTCCAATTCCTTAGACAAGTATTCATTTACTATCTCCCATCCAAGTACAAACCAGGATTGACCTTGTTTAGCTTCCAAGATGAGAAGGGGATCTGATACCCTTACCAAAAGTATAAAACTGTGTAAAATAAATCACTTCCCTCTTAATAATAGTTATTTTGTCAATTATCAGCATATCTGTAATATATCTGTTTCCAGTAATTGTTTACTTTGCTGCAAGTCCACCATGTGTGGTACAATGTACCTTTTTCTTTCCCACATTAAAGCAAAAAAAAAAAAAACCACTCCCAACTTTATTTGTAATATAGTATTTTATTTCAGCAGGAGCATATAGAAGTTTCCTTTTTTTTGTATGACACAAAACTAAGCCTCTTTATAATATACTCTGGAGTGTAAACACTATCTGGTAAAAGTGCAAAGAGATGAAGAACATCACACAGAGTGCATAGAACCAGTTTTTAGACAGGTTACCAGTAAGGAACACATTGGTAAGTGGGGTAGTCTTTGTTAACGTTAGGCGCTAGGGTTTTCCTGTGGTGTGTTTGTTTTTATTGTTGAGGAACCTAAGATAGCATCAGGTAGAGGAGTTCTGTGATGGCTGCTTGTTTTGTTTTGTTTTCCACATAAAGTGCTGGCACAATAACTTAGATGTTACAAACAAGCTGTAACAAACATTCTAAAGCATTGTTGACACACAATGGAGAGAGCTATTACAACGTTGAACAGTACAGTGTCTTGGGATCGTCACCTCAGGCTTCTACAGGTTTCGGTCTATGCACATGCTCTAACTGGCCTGAATCTGAAATGTCGTAGCTGGTCTTGTACTTGGCCAGAATTTTCATCAGAGGACGTAACTTCAACCACCATTGTTCCTTGGGAATTCGGTGTCTGTTGACCATTGGAGAGAAATGCCATTAGACATCGATATTCAAACTTATAATACAGTTACACGTCAGACTAGCTCACTCACATACATTCATGGAGCAGCTCAGTTAAGATGAGGGTCAGATTCTGTCTATACCCTGCATCTAGGAGTAGCTAATTTATAAGGTTGGCTTACATGTTTGCAGCTTTGAGTCCATACCACAACAACAACAAAACATTCTTGGTGCATTGGTTTTTAGGCCTCTTCCCAGGGTTATTAGTGGTGCTGATTCAGAAAATTGCATTGGATAGACTGCATCACCTCTTGTTTCTTAGATACGGTGTGTCGAATGACTGGAAAATTTGTATCATAAAGCTGTGCTTTTGGTATGAAATATGGTAAGTAGATTTGCATGTACACTTTAAACTTTTACAATATGTTTTCTTCATGCTTAAAACAGATTAATGTAATATATCCTGATTTTTATGGCCAAGCACAGTGAAGAGTGGAATATGGCATATGTTCTGTATCTCAAAAACTACAGCTGATAGAAATGTGCCATTTTTGGAATCAGTAGGTCAAATATACCCAGAAACAGGTCTAACAACTCAGACACCAAAATGTGCTTCATTCTGTAGAGAACGTGGATTGTTCTCTCTAGCAATCTAGAGGTACTCCTCCAGTGCAACTCTGGTCACCTTCCCCCAGAGGTTGATCTTAAAGTCATGTTGAAGGTCCTAGAGAGAACACTTCTCCAGAAGAAGTTGACCACAGAGTCATGCTGGAAACCCTAGGACCTCATCACACTAGATAATGAATCCACTTTAAATCTGGTTTCTCCTGCAGAATTCTGGGGTTTGTAGTTGAGGGAGGCTGTTAAAGGTTCCTCCCTAAATTACAAACCCCAGAACTCTGCAGGAGGCAGAAACTAGATTTAAAGTGAATTTATTCTGTAGTGTGATTAGCATCCCTAGTGATTTCTAAAGAGGTATTCTCTTAAGTGGAAATCATTTTCCCATATTTTTTTTTACTTTTATGGGTGTCTTGTGCCCCTAACCCCAGCGAATGTAGAGGGCTGACTGAATTTCAGCAACATGCTATTAAACCGAACCATGTGCAAGCCATGTGCAAGTTCATTATTTCCTTATATGAAAGTCAAAGCTAATTTCTTCACAGGCAGGAAGCTAGACATGTTAGCTGACTGTACCATGTGGTCTCAGATATCATTGGTATGTATGCTCAAATATGATCAGCCATCACTCTCAAAAGGCTCAATGATGTGGCAAGCAGATGCATTCCCAGCAGTACTAGCTCCCTTAAGGTATAAACCTTACCTTGGATTCCCAGAGCTGTAAACTCAGTACCTTTTAAGATGAAAAGAGAGCTATTGTCTTAAAGAACAAAGGTTTTTCTAGTGCAGTGTTTCTCAACCTGGGGTTTCGGGACCCCTGAGGGGGATCACAAAGGGGGTTTCAGACGGGTCACCAAAGATAATCAGAAAACATATTTCTGATGGTCTTAGGAACCCCCTTTGGCAGAGAAAGCTGAAGAACTCTCTGCCTGTTCTCTTCCTTTTTGGAAACAGACGGCAAATCCTCTTACCAAAAGCCCTCCAGCTCTCTGAGTGAAGGAGAACTAACACTCCAAAACTCAAGGTCAGTGCCCACCAAGCCCTTCCAGTATTTTCTGTTGGTCATGGAGTCTGTGTTCCAAGTCTGGTTCAATTCCATCGTTGGTGGAGTTCAGAATACTCTGATTGTAGGTGAACTATAAATGCCAACAACTACAACTCCCAAATGACAAAATAAAATCCCTGTCCAACCCCATCAGTATTCTAATTTGGGGGTATTGGGTATTTGTGCCAAATTTGGTCCAGTGAACGAAAATACACCCTGCATATCAGATATTTACAATATGATTCATAACAGTAGCAAAATTAGAGTTACGAAGTAGCAATGAAAATAATTTTATGGTTGGGGGTCACCACAACAGGAGGAGCTGTATTTAGTGGTCACAGCATTAGGAAAGTTGAAAAACACTGTTCTAGTGTGACTTACAGTTTTGGGACGCATGGGTTTCTTGTATGTTAATAACTCTCCATTACATTTTGCCAGAAGAATTTCATCTGGCAAGGGAACTGTTCATGCAAAACCCTCACGCACAGAGCTGATTTCACTGAAGCATGGCTAAACTAGAAGCGCTTTTGAGAGAACTGGCACTAATAATGAACAAACGTAGAAGGCAAGGGACTACAAAAAGAAGGTATTACTGCTTCGATTGCGGGCTTTGCGGGCAGATTCAGATCCCAGTAGTTTTATTATCTCAAGTTTAAAGATAAAATAGTTAAGTTCAGTGACAGCGAACCCAGAGGCCATCCTTAATTTTTTATACTTCTACTCCCAGCATCCCATTCTTTCAGGCAACACTGGCAAAATGGGAATCCAGCAAAAGTCTGGAAGACTATGTCTCTATAAAGCAGTGATTCTCAACCTTCCTAACGCCACGACCCCTTGGGGGTCACCACAACCTCATGTTGTGGTGACCCCCAAACATAAAATTATTTTCATTGCTACTTTCATAACTGTAATTTTGCTACTATTATGCAGGATGTATTTTCATTCACTGGACTAAATTTGGCACAAATACACCATACATCCAAAGTTGAATACTGGTGGGGTTGGGGGAGGATTGATGTTGTCATTTGGGTTGTAGTTGCTGGGATTTATAGTTCACCTACAACCAAAGAGCATTCTGAACTCCACCAGCAATGGCACACAGAACTCCCATGACCAACAGAAAATACTGGAAGAATTTGGTGGGCATAGACCTTGAGTTTTGGAGTTGTAGTTCACTTACATCTAGAGATACTGTGGACTCAAACAATGGTGGATCTAGACCAAACTTGGCACAAATAATCAATATTCCCAAATGTGAACACTAGTGGAGTTTGGGGGAAATAGACTTGACATTTGGGAGTTGTAATTGCTGGGAATTATAGTTCACCTACAATGAAAGAGCATTCTGAACCCCACCAATGATAGAATTGGGTCAAACTTCCCACACAGAACCCCTATGACCAACAGAAAATACTATGTTTTCTGATAGTCTTTGGCGATCTCTTTCACATACCCTTGAGACCCCCCCCCCCCCCCCCCCCCCCCCCCCGCCTTCAGGGTTCCGACCCCCAGGTTGAGAATTGCTTTAGAGTACTGTTCTCAGAGATACTGAACAATACCATTGATAGCCTTCAGGCCATGTTACATTGGTTGTTTTTTCTCTCTGTCCCATTACATTAGTATTTTTGTATTTTTTACATACTCAAAATCTGTTTCATCCTTCAGTTCATTCACAGGCTGGAATATCAGGTTCCTTCGGCGCATACCCAGGAGACAGACAGAATCATCCGTGTTGGCAAATACTCTCCCTTTAAAGAAGAAAAAGTAGGGAAGGAGGAGAGGGGAAAACACTTCTAGTTTTATGTATACATACATAGTTCGATGGCTCAAGCCAGGAATACTCTAGGAGGGGAAAACGTTTAATAATTCCTTATTGGGTGTTTAAGCTGATTTGGTCACTAAAATTTCACAGTGACGAACATGATGTGAATTGTGATGAAGATGGATTAAGGTTCAGTTTTTGACTTGGTATTTGAAAGGGAAAATGAGGGATGTTTGAGTAACTGGCAACATAATTGTTCCAGGTTAGTTTTTTTTTTTTTTAAAGAAATAAATCTGAATTAGAGTTTTCTGTAAGTCCAACTGGGAGCTGATAAAACTGCAAAATAACATAACACATTACCTTCATCTGCGATCCATGCAGCCACCAAGAAAAAAAAACAAGAAAGGAAAAATACTTGTAACTACAATAGTCTGATTTTCTCGATATTATCTACCACTTTAGTAGGAAGCTTAATACATTTTTAGCAGTGGCCTAGGATTCGGACATAAGAAAAATTCAGCAACACTGATGAATCTAACTCTGTGAACATAAGAAACAAGTGTTACCAACTTCCAAGACTGAATTTCTGCAATTTGTCTTATTATTTTCTATAACATTAGCAACTTGCTTCTATGTACATTTACTCAGGAGCAAGTCAAAATTTGGTGGATCTTACATTATGCAAGCAAGCTTGCCCCATATGGTAGACTTTGTTTTGCTGAAATGATTGTAGAGCAGAGTAATTGGAAGGACCCATGGGGGCACCTATGGCTTGCGTTTGTTTTCGGTTTGTTCATTTTGCTTTTTAGGAATGGCTAGGTGCATTTCGGAACCTTAGAAAAATACATTTCTGGAGAACAACTCCCAAAACATTGGGGGATTCTGAGAATTATAGTCCAGAAAAGCAGTTTCTCAACCTCTTAGCTTGATACAGCAGTGAGATAATGTGCATGGATGTCTCATTCGTCTCAAATACTCCACTGATGTAAGCCAGGGAGTATCCTGAATTGGCAACCAAAGGATTCCTTCTAACATACATATCTGCAGTCCCAGTAACTGGTGCTTTATGAATGATGGAGAGCTTTTAGTCCTCCAAACACTTTATTTACTATATTTATATCCAGCCTTTCTCAACCCCAAAGGGGATTCAAGGCGGCTTACAACAAAGGTAATAATTCAATGCCTTAAAAACAATATACAATTAAATATTATTTATTATTATTATTATTATTATTATTAACTTTATTTGTACCCCGCTAGCATCTCCCGAAGGACTCGATGCGGCTTACACAGGCCGAAGCCTCAGAGACACAATACAGTAAAACATAACACAACAATAGTAAATAAAGCAAATCAAATAATTTAGCAAAATAACAAACAACAGTAATAAAATAAACAGCTCCAACAATCCCATATAATTGGCAATTGTTGGGGGGGTTGATTCTTAGAAGTTCAAACATCCAGGGAGGGTGGGGAATCAATCTAACCCATCCTTGTAATGTAAATGGAGGCTGGGAAATGCTTAGGCTTGAGGTTACGCCACTCTAATTCCCACAACTACATCTAGGAATGATGGGAGTGGAATGTTCCAAGAAAGAAACATTCAAATTGGTATGGAAGCACTACAGACATACAATTGACTACAAAACAATGTTTCACAGGATACTCAGTTTCCCACAACAGGCAGCAATTAGTGTTCTGAACAAGTTAATATTACGAAACATGACCTTGATATTTTCTCACCTCTTCGATAGGAGTCCTTGAGTTTCTTTGAGAGCCACAACACGGCTTTGGCTGAAATTTTTGTGCCAAAGTTTCTATCAAATGGAGAAGGAGCACCACCCTAAAACATTCAAAAGTGAGCAGAAGTTTAAGATTTTGAAGAAATAAGCTAAGTAATACTAATTGCAAAGCATGCACAGGATTGACTGGCATACATTTAGGCACAAAATGGAGACACAGTCAGGCCAACAAGTAATAGTTCAGCAAGGGAAGGTGTATCTAGACCAGCAGTTCCAAAACCTTTCAGATCATGGAAGCCTTAAAGAGATTGACCTCCCTCCACCCCCCCATGAAACCCTAGCTCTATCCCTAAGCATGGTGCACCCACAATGTTCTTCCTGAAATTATTTCATTTTTGTACTTAGAATAATCTTGAAATTGAGCTTTATGTCCTACAGCTGAATATTTAAATCCAGGGCAGCATCTAACTTACTCCTAAACTTGTTTTTGGTGCAAACAAATTTGGTGTACACATAAACTAAAAAGTGATTTGCATCAACAGGTGGACATGAAGGGGAGCACTGCTTGGATAGCCTTTCCACTTACTGAAAGGTATTAAGTCTATCAGTCCTATGCAATAATCAGTCAGTGGCACAGAGTCAAATTTCGTTTTTAAAGCATGATCTTTATACACTGGCAAGAAGTTTTAAAACTGATTTTTAAAAAGATTTTAAAGACTTTTCATAGAACACCCACAGTGCTTCTGCAGAATCCTAAAAACATGTTTTGGGAACTACTGATCTAGACTGCTCAGTATTAAAATGAACACGAAGGGGGGAAATTACTTCTACACTATTCTCTTTAGCTGGATCAGGTTGTTTTACTTATGACACTTTCTTATACTATGTGACAGTGCCATTTAACCCAATATACAGAATGACTCCAATGTACATGGGGATGTATTTCAAGATTCCCTGTGGATACCTGAAATTTGATAATAGCAAACCCTACCTTTTGATTATATTTGGTCCAGAAGTATATCATAGAATGGTACTGGAGGACTTAGAGAGGCCACAAACACTTTGAGTGGGAAATGTTTTTAGACTATGAATAAGTGAAACCATGGACATCAAATCCATGGATAAGGGGGTTTGTTATGCAGATTCCGGCATTGCTCCCACATAAATAATTATTAATCCTTTTACAGAAATTGCAGAACAGGGTTCAGTTCTACCTAAACAGTTTGAGCAATCCAAAGAATTTCAAATTCCGACCTACCTGCTGCATGTGACCCAGTACATTCTTTCTGCAGTCAAATACTCCTTTCCCTTCTTCAGAATACAGCTGGTAAATGAAGTCTGTTGTGTAATTCTCACTGCTGTTTTCATTCCTGTACAACATAACATTTTAAAAAGATTTATTGATCACTTATATCTAGTTTTTTTTTTACATAAGAAATTCAGTTAATACAGAACAGACTTCCCAAATGGTGCATCAATTAAGCATTGGCCATATTCTATGAGATTGGAGATCTTGCAGGATGCTTGATCTTTCTTGAGAGGTCCTCATCTTATGAGACTTGAGGCAGGTCTTATCTAGGCTTGCTTCACATGTCCTAGACAACATTGTCTTTGTTTTCCTTTCACTAGGAATGATGGCCTTCCTTTCTCCCAATATTTATATATTTGCAACGATTCTTCCTTCCTGCCTGCAAAAGCATTATAACCACTGCAACATTCCTTGATTTTACAATTCAAGACAATGAAATATCAGCTTACCTCAGCACCAAACCACGCTGAATACCGGTTTTCATCTTTTCAGTTAAATGTTCCACATTGGCCTATGGAAACATATAAAACTGTTTTCAAAGCAGGTAAAATTGCCTATTGCTAATGTCAAAGGAGTCCTAAAGCAGGACAGGATTGATGTTCTTATCCCTGTGTATTGCTATTGCCAGATTCCAGGCCTTCCATAAATTTGTGGTACCAACTACAAACCAAAGAGGTAGCACCCAAATCCTCACTTGGAATTTTAGATAGTAGAAATTTGTTTGGGGGGGGGGGGGGGGAGAATGCATAAATGTCACAGTATGTTTTAAATTCTCTAGGCCATAAGGAAACTGGATTAAAGTAGTGCATCACAATGCAAACCCATCCCTTCCAAACTCTACTACTACAAAAAAAGTGAGCTCCTAACAAGCACTACTATTTTGTAAGCATTACAGAATGGGGCAAAATTGTCAATAGTATAAGCACTCCATCTTGTGGAAATGAGGGGGAAATGCTAGGATCAAAGAGTACTGTACATAAGAAACATTCACTACTTCATCACACTAGAGAGAAAAATCCACTTAAAATGCAGTTTCTGCCTCCTGCAGAATTCTGGGGTTTTTAGTTTAGTGAGGAGCCTTTAACAGCCTCACAGTTATAGGCAATTGATAAATCCTGATAGTTTTGAACAAACAATTTCATTATTAATACTGTTAGTGGCAATCTAATTGCGCTTTCCTCTCCCTGTGTTGCACCCTGCCATGAGAAGAGGTGGGTAACAAATATTGTATTATTATTATTATTATTATTATTATTATTATTATTATTATTATTTGAAACACAACAAGATGAGCCCACAGCAGACAAGATCACTCTGCCGGCTGTTGTATTGGATCACACATTGAATACTTCCTAAGTGTCTAGGACTGTGTAATGTATCGGCGAACAATGAGTGCAGATCCCAGTAAGGTGGCTTTCTGCATCTGGCAGATGGCAATTTTGTCAGCGCTGACTGTGTTTAAGTGCAGATCAAGGTCTTTAGGCACTGCGTCCAGTGTGCCCATCACCACTGGGACCACCTTTACTGGCTTGTGTCAGAGTCTTTGCAGTTCGATCTTTAAATCCTCATATTGTTGTTGTTGTTATTATTTGATACACAACAAGATTAGCACACAGCAAACAAGTTTCACACATACACATGGCTTGATATCTATATCGTTAAATGATACTGTGCACATGTGAATCAGAACAGATCAGAACAGGTAGAATTTACTTAATAGTTCATCACCTATAATTTCCTGCATGGCAGGGAGATGGTATGGATAGCCGTTGTGATCTTCTCCAATTTCATGATTTCATGAAAATGCAATGCTATAAACTGGACAGTGCTCAAACATCACCAAAACATAGGTTGGTAGGTTTGCACCTAAATGTGATTTTAAATTGACATATGGGTAGATAAAATGTAGATAAAAGATTCTACCCACCTGGAGCTCCCGAATATCAAACTTCTCTTCAAAGATGTATGCAGCATCAGCACCCGCTGCAAGGGCCCCCATGTTGGCCAAGTAACCGCAGTAGCCACCCATAGTCTCAATGATGAACACTCGGCGCTTTGTCCCACTTGCAGAGAGTTTGATTCGGTCGCAGGTCTAGCAAAAGATGGCTTATTAGCAACTTCCAAACCAAAGATGTAACCCCTCTGAAAGGTGATGTTTCATTGCTACCAGGGTATCATGCACCATGAAAACTAAAAAGAAATATCTTGATAACATCATTTCTTCTCCTGCCTTTTCAGTTGTCATCTGAAATGTTCCATCTCTTACCCATGATATGAGTGATGTGGATCTTGGCACATTTTTTTCAATTGAAATTTCTAGCATGGTGCTAGAAACAGAATTCCAAAACTGTTATTGATTCCTAGGTGTCTGGGATCCGTTTTATAACAGAATCACACATTTTGTTTTCCATCAAATGTTAATGACTGAGGTCAGTCACACCATACAAAATAATGTCACCAGGAGACACAATGAAATATAAACCATCAACTCAAATTATTTCAGTGGTGGTCTAGTCCCAGCCTTTTGAGAATCCTAGACAAGAAAGTTCTTTGATATTTTCAAGATCATGCTTGAAAGCGGCCTCAAGCATATGTTTGCAACTGAGGGGAACAGGGCCATAGCCAGAAAAAAATGGGGGGGGGGGGGGGGTGTTGAAACTTTTTAAAGCAAATCATGAAGAGTAATTCTATAACGATACAACATTTTTACTACAGTCCAAAGACCCTTATTGCTCCGTAAAAGATAGGCCAAAAATAGCCAAAAAAAAGGGGTTTTTTTAACCTTAAAAATTTTGGGGGGGGGGGTTGAACCCCTCCCCCCGGCTCCAGGCCTGGAAGGAAATGAATTTAACAATTGGTTAATAATGATCAAGACAGGATATAAATATGGAGCATCAATGTATGGAAGACAATTATCTTCCTTTAAGGGATGTGACAAATACTTAGTTTTCTTGTCTTTAATAAGAAAGTGCTGTTAGTCAACTGCTGTGAATTTTTTTCACATTTGAATACTTTTTTGTGAAATATTTCTGGTTATATTAAATCCTTATTGTACAAAAGTACACATCAATCGGTATATTTTACACAAAAGACATGCTTTTCCAGAAAATACAGTCTGCTGTTCAAAAACCCTCCTTTGGAGGACAAAAAAATATTTTTTTAACAATAAAGTTCTGAAAAGCATCAAACAAACTTAAAATGAAGGAAGGTTTTTGTAGCCTCATTTAGTGGAGGAAAAAAGGAATTCCTTGTTTCTATCCATGAGATACAAGTCAAGATGTGCACCCACAATCTTGCAAAGGCAACCTAAATTTCAAAGGAGGGAGGAGTAGGAAATTCCTACAAATGTACCCCCCTTTTTTTGAAACGGAGGAGCAAGTCGAAATGTAAGTCATTTTCTTATATAATCTACTGGCTAATTTCAAAGATTTGGACTCAATTACAGCTTATGTTAAAGATCTGTGTCGAAGGTGGTGTATGTTTCCTATTCTATCAGAACAGAAACTGGTGCTAGGATAGCACTTCTGCACTCTAAAAAGATGTATCCTTTTGATATTTCCATCTCCAGATTTGTTTGTTTTTTAAAAAATTGCACCAGTGTTCATTCTGTCATTTTAAAATCCCAATTACCTTAAGTGATTAAAATAAAAACCAAGGGAACTACCTAAACCAGATAACAATATGGGTATAACTTGGCCTTTACCTAGGAATTTAAAAAAATTCCTTTCTGAACTGTGACTCTCAAATACTCTCAGGCAGCACATACAGTAGATGTTGTGGCTCCCTAAAATAACTTCTCCACGGTGGGTTTCTTATGTGTGTGACAGTCTTGTTGTCTTATGCTTGTTCTAGCCCGCTACACATGGCACAGTGGCACCCAATTTGTAATCTATTCTGATATGGCAGTAGGTTCTGGATTTAATTTCAGGAATTTCAGAGGATCCTTACAATTGGAGACCATCGTTTTGATTCATACCTAGTTCCTAAAATTAATGGACACCAGACTTCCAAAGATGGTCCTTTTCTTCCTGGCTCTCAGGCACAAAATCTAGACCAACACTGAAACTTTTGCAATCTTACCTCGACAATGGCATTCAAGGAAGTGTCAGCACCAATACTCAAGTCGGTGCCAGGCACATTGTTGCTAATAGTAGCAGGAACTATGCAGATAGGAATGCAAAACTCCTCAAAGCGGGCTCGGGCTTCAGCTAACAGCACACAGCTCTCAAAAGCCTAAAGCAGTGGTACAAGGAATGGTAAGCAAGGCGCTCGGTGCCCCAACTTTGTGTAATCATGAGGCATTCAGCTAGTGGCTCCCTGTGTGTGGCAATGGAAAGTCTGGATTTGCAGCGGCAAAGAAAGAAAGAAACAAAACCCTTCAATGCTCAATATTTTAAGATTCGGTTTTTCCTCATGGGAGCCTGCAATGGCTTGCTGGATTTGCATTGGTGCAGAAGAAAGACAACCAGAGTTAGTAGAAGGGTGAAACAAGCAAAATGTGGAAAAACAGAGAGATCAAAGAAGAAAGATCAAAGGCTCCTTCTACACTATAAAAATACAGATCATCTGATTTGGTAATTTGGATATATGACAGTGTAGAAGGGGCCTTAGTTAAAGACAGTAATGACTGGAAAATGGCTGTTCTCCTGTGGCACACTGAAGACTGAAGAAAAAACACCAAGTGATTGAAGATGATCCAGATCTTCTCAACCCTCATCTTCTAAAATGAACATGGAAACTGGTCCATAGCTGAAAGAAGATATTAACAGCCAGACAAGGTGACAGCCAGCAATAATCTGTAATCCTTAGCAGCCCCAGACCTTTCCACATGTTATATACATATGTGAGGAAAGCTGGGATGTAAATGAGCCTGCCATTTTAAATCGGGCTTTGGGGCAATCATAAGCATGCCAAAGCCAAGTGCAACACAAATGAGTCCTCACATGCAAGATGAAATCTTGTATTGTGTGAAACACTCCACAGAGGCAGCTTCACATCTGTCTCTCCATCCTGGAAGATGCCAAGTCCTAGGAGTGCTGCTTTATGAATTGAAGTATACCCGACCTCATAGGAACTAGCACTACATAGCCACAATTTTGGCCACAGTGGAAATAAAGTGCTAGATTCATTCATATTTGCCCATCATTAATAGGCCATGACCAAAATTTCATTGTCAGAAAGAGGAAAAATTTCAAGTACATTTCAGATGACATCAAACACTGCAGCAGAACTATCAACTATATTTGGGAACAAGACAAACATCAGCATAGTAGAACTTCCTTTCCACACCACCATCTTCATGCTGCAGAAGGTATCCCTCACAGCTGGAAGCAGTAGTGGAAGGTCAACAGTGGTGATTAATCTGTCTTTCAGAGAGATGAGGCTTCCATTAGTGAAACACCATTTGAACACTCCTGGTTGCATCAAATAAATATATCACACTGCACACCCCTCCCCACCCCCTCCGGTAATGAGTCCATAAGAAGTCAGTATTCTATTAGAAAGCTCTAGTAACTAACGACTATCAACAATCTAATCAGACATTGTGCTATCTGCATTTTAAGCAGAGTGCCAGGAAAGATGAGAAAAAAGGCAAAAAATTATAGATCACAGAAATGAACCAAGAAAATCCATGGAAGAGGAAAAGGACAGCAATGAGCATGGAAAGCAGCATTACTCACCTTAGTATGTCAATAAAAACTGGTGGAGAATTTTTTGTACCAGAACTGGAAACCAATATTATATACGTGTCTTGCAAGGGTGGGCAGCTGTATCAGGTGGGGACTGATTTTCACCCCGTGCAAGCCTGACATGCCTTTAAAGAAGAGAGCCAGCATGACGTAGTGGTTAGAGAGTTTTACTAGGATTCTGGGTCTTTGCTTAACTGTGGAAACTGTGTTCCACAGTTAAGCAAAGACTCAGATTCCTAGTAAAACTCTCTAACCACTACGCCATACTGGTGCTCTTCTTTAAAGTTATATATGTAACTTCATGGTCTTTAAAAAAAAGATGCCTGGAGCAGGAATCTCCTACCACAGGCTTAGAAATGCTTGGGGGAATGTTCTGAAATTTTACAACATTTAATATCAGGTTTCCTCCCTCAAAGCTTTTCGTGTGCCAAACCATGAAATGCCTTGGAGACACCAGTGGCTTAAAAAACAGTTTACCATCTGGAATGGTGAGACATATGGACACTATTCCTTGGGGCCTGCAGGGAAAAAAACAGTGCAGCTCTTTTCTCAGCCATGCTTTAATTTATATTTTTAATTTCTACTTAATAGGAATCTTTAAGAATACATGCCTAAATGGTGAATTCTACCACACCTGTTCCAATCCTGAGCACATGGATTATTTTTTCCATATAATTTTTATTACAAATATATGAGAAATGGTACAAGAATGGATATAGAATGGGGGCATTTAAACATCTTTTATTTTTGTCTTTTACTATTCCTGTGTAATACTTAATAGCTTTCTATAATGTTAAAAAAGAGAAATAAAAAGAACATTTATTTTCTAATCTAAAACAGGATAGAAAAGTAGGTATTCAATGTTTTGAAACAAAGGAGATAGAAAAGTTAAGAAATTGAAAATAGAAAACTCCAACTAACACTTCTTACCCTGTCTCTGCTGCCCTCTTCATAATCAGAAAATCTATTCTTTTTATCATACAAACTTCTTATCTCTGGTAGATTAACTTTCCAGGATCCCTTGGATACCATTGGGGATTCTGGTATTCTTGTCACTGACATTTCTGTTTTTTCTTGTTATTCCTACATCCATATACTACTAATTTTCCCCTGGTGCAATAGTCAATAAGTCTGCTATTCTTCAAATTTAGGAGAATCTGGTGATTGGATAAGCCTAGTCAATTATCTATCTCTAATTATTACAATATTATATTCCTTTTTCAAGTTTGGGAGGGTTTTTGGATGCCAAATCCATCATTTTTGTAATCCATACATCTTGAGTGAGGCTTTATTTTTGTTTCCAGTAATAACAAATAATGAAAAGTAATTAAAAGTTTTTCTTTTGTTTGGCATGTTTAGTCCATTTATATTTAAATAAGGTATCCTCAGGATCTTCGTTCTTGAAATAGTAGATTATCATCATCATGTGGAATGGTCTGCCACTGTGACAGAACATCTTCTTTATCCAGGATCCATTAAGGTTGCCATCTGTTCCTGCTCTCCCAGATGCTCTCTTTCTTCTATTTCAATTGGCTCTTTGGTGTGGGCTTGAAAAAAAATTATCTCGTACTTTTTTTGGTAAACAACACAATCACACATCTTGGAAGTTTATTATTTATTGCATGTTGGAATTAGACCCTAAATGTCATGTCAATTTGTGTCTTGACCACTTGCTCTGGTCTGCCAAGGATTCCAACCACAACTTCTGTTATTGCCATATCGAGTTCCTATACAGATTCCAGTATTCCTCTCAATCTCAAAGAGCTTTCTCTTTGCACTTATTCTAATCCTTGGAGTTGAGTTGAATATCTTTGGAAATCCATTTGCATCTTCTTTTGTGCCTCTTCAGTTATCTTTATTTTCCATTTTTGCTGTTCTTGCTGCTTCAAAATACCACTCACTGTATCTGCCATGTGTTGCATATCTCTTTTTCCATCTCTTATTGTCCTTCCTGTAAATAATCTTCAACCTGTCAATCCTGGCCTCCACATTTTAATTCCATCTGTAATGGTTCTTAATTGGGTCAAGATTTCCCTCATTGGATATTCTTCTCGTAGAAGATATATTTTCCTGGAAGCTTCTTTCGGGTCTTTGAATCTTGGTCTTGCTGACCTTACAGTCATTTCTGTAATCAAGCTGTCTCTCCTCCCCCCCCACCCCCGCTTTTTAGAAAAAACAGACTTCTAATTTTTGAAGATTTATTGTAGTGCCTCCTTCAACCAGTTTCACATTTAGTACATAGTTACCTACAGCCCTTTTAGTTATTTTCCTGTTTTCTGTATTTTAAGCTGTATCTCAAACTCTATAGTTTTCTCTATGCTTTTATCTCTATGACTTATCTCTATCACTTCAGAGACTCCATGTAGTCCTAAGTTGTTATGGCTTTCAAGTTCCTAAGTATGTTAAATAATTTTAATTTCCAAAATTATTCTTATAGCACAATCCCCAACAAATTAATTCACTTTCACACTTTGTAGTTAGCCCCACCAGATAATTTCATCAGGCAAACGTAGAATATTCTTAAAGAATAGTTCATCTAAATTTTAAAGTCATTTTTTATCTCTACAATTTCTAACAGAAGGAAGAAAATGCAGTTTACCTCTCAGATATGTTTTTCTCAACAAAATTTTTAAATTTACAGCAGATTTAAGGGCTGTAAATTTAACAACTGTAAATTTAAGCCTTATGTAAATATATTATTTTAAGAGCCACTTTTGTCAGTGTCTGTTTACATAACAACATTGCTGGGGTGTGTGATGACTCCCCCTCTTCTCTCCTCTACTCCTGTTTCAGTGAGGAAGGTGAGATCCTTTGAGTCTTGAGGGGGTTGAGTCTGTCCTTTGTCTTTCTGAAAAAGTATTTCTCGACTTCATGTGGTTGAGAAGTCCCTAGGGACATCTCAGTTTTCAACCCACTTGCTGAGACACTGCTCACAGCTCCATTTCTTCACTGGAAGTCCACATTGATTATTAATATGAGATGCACAGACAAATTTATTCCAGATATTATAGAAATCAAGTGCTTTCTATGGTTACAGAAAATAGAAACCTTTCTGGAGTGATGCTTAAGTTAAACCTGACTTCATAATGACTATCTTATAAATACCAGGCTAGGTTTGTCCCATCCACTGTTTCTATTTTCTGATGTTTTCTGTTTGGATGTGTGATTTAATCCATAGTTAACATGCAGTCTTATTTTCTTCTTCGTTGTTTTAATAGGACTTACTGACCACCTTGAAGGCCACCTTGTTGTGAACATGGGATATATAGTTCCTAAATAAATGAATAAAGGAAGAAGCAACTTTCCCATTTTGTGAAACATACTGTCTGATCAAGCAACCATCTGTATGCACACATGTGTACATAAATGTATTTATATCTGGTTCCTGCTGCAATCACGTTTCCTGATGTTCTGGTCCAAGAAAATCTCCATCGCTAGCTGCGTTAAAGAGGCTATGTTAGTGTACATGCACATGAGAAAAGAGAGACTTACATCAGTGATAGTGTTCAGAGCAGTATCTGCACCAATGCTGAAATCAGAACCCGGTACATTGTTGGATACGGTTGCAGGAACCATAACCATGGGAATACAGAACTCGTCATATTTCTCCCGGGCAGCAGAGAGTTCCAAAAGTCCCAGGTAGGCCTAATAGGTACCCATCGTAATGTAGGTAGAATGAGAAGGGGGATAAAAATAAGCTTGAGTTACAGCAATATGGGTTGGGATGTGGCAGGGAGATTCAGTGACTATAACACAGACACGTATGAGACACATGGTTGGGGGTTTTCTAATTCAGACAGTCAAAAGTGATTTGAAAGACTTTGCTGCTCATTTTAAAACACAGGGTTTAGACTACAGCTCCCAGAATTCCCTGGCCAGATCGCTAGAGGATTCTAGGAGTTATTACTTTTTGCATTATTTCAAAATCCTCTGACCAGAGAGCATGACAGAACAAAACCATATACATCTTGGGAAAGAAAGCCACTCTCAAACCATGTTCGATGCTATTAAAAGTACTGTTTGACTCCAGCCACACAGAGACACTAGGGAAGACCTCATACAGAATATCACAATGCATAAGACAGAGACAAGCAAAATATCTCTTAATATCAACTGTTACTCTAAGTACTTTTAAACATACATTTATACAGATCATAACAATTTAGAGCACAAAAATAAATTATGTTTTTTACAGGGATTACATTGCCCTTAATGTTTTTTTTTTTTCCCTACAGGGATCACATTGTTCCTTATTAATAATTCTCATGTGGTGAAAGAATACACCTATGAAACTCATATTTTAACAAGCAATTTAAATTCCTGAATGGGACTTTGGCTTTAAAAAGTGGTCTAATGCTTAAAATGATTAATCAAACATGTCACTCATGTTTGGTTAGTCATAGGGAGACTCTCTGAGGTCCTTTCCACACAACTGTGTAAAATCGCACATTATCTGCTTTGAATTGGGTTATATGGTAGTGCTGGCTCTGCTAACCCAGTTCAAAGCAGATGTTGTGGATGATCTGTCTTGATATTCTGGGTTACATGGCTGTGTAGAAGGGTCCTGAGTCAACTACTGAATGGTGAGTTAACACTGTATTGGTCAGGTTAAGAGCAATAATGAGACTTTGACCACTGCCTCCTAAGAATTATTTTACTTTCCCTAGGATACTGAGTGCTAATGTTTACAGGCAATGGTATGTAAGTTTCAGGACAGAAATGGAATGGAAAAAGGACATCTGAAGTCATCAGGTCATTTTGTTCCTGTTAGAGGTGTATTAATATGATGCTGAGAATCTAATGATAATGTGTATTTGCAACCACAATTTGTAAGTAAAATTTCTACTTCCCTTGCATAGAACATTATTCCATAGCCTGGCTTTCTTTGCAACATGGGAACCACAACTTTTCTTAGATGGATCGCTATTTCAAATCTCTAATGACTTCATTCTCAGTCAACACCATGAGTCTCAATGAGCTATTTACCAGCAGGGACTCTTGTGTGATTAAGCTTTAATCACAAAGTCTTACTACTTTGCAGAGCTCATTTACCAACAAGTATTTATAAGTGAAACAAAGCAAGAGATATTACCTCGAAGCCACCTATAACCAAGAGGGCATTGATATTATTACTCCGCATCTGTTCTGCAATCTTCTCCATATGCTTTGCAGGCAATGTTCTAAAATACACACACACATACATATATTAAAGAGCTATGAACAATGCACTTGGGATACATTTTGAAAGACTAATTGAGTACTTAAAGTATGAATATTTTACAGCATTTTGCATTATTATACAATAAACATTTCATATAATACTGTATTGGTTTGGTTTTGTTTTAGTTTACTTTCCTGGTTACTGAATGAAATAAACTCCAATTCATTCATTCAAAGTGCTGGGCATAATCTATAGCACACAATACAGGTTAGGTGTGTAGATCTATGTCACTGCATGAGCCTACAAAAATTTCAAGGATTTCCTCTCCGTTCCACCACTATCCCAGGTTCATCTTCATGAGGTCATGTGAGAAGGCCTTCTTGGTAGCTGCTCTCAGGCTGTTTATTTATCTTCCATAAGATTTAAATTACCGTTTTGTGCCCAGAATCGAACCTCCTTGTCCAGTCCAACCTCCAACATCTCCCCAGCTGATTTCTTTGATCTATAAGTTAAAACAAATAAAAAGTTGAATTAATTTTGAGTGACTATGACACATTTTAGGATATACACTACTGAACATTTCTACAGCAGATACGAAGTCAGCTTCTTCAAACACTACACTATGCTCACTCTCCAAATCAAGAAACTTGCAGCATTTAATTCCATTTCAGTTCTGTTTTTCATTCTTTCAATGTAGATTAATTCCGGGGTGGCCCAATGGGTTAAACCCTCATGCTGGCTGAACTGCTGACCTGAAGGTCGGTGGTGAGCCCCCATCTGTCAGCCCCAACTTCCCATGCGGGGACATGAGGGAAGCCTCCCACGGGATGGTAAATGCATCCAGGCATCCCCTGCACCGGGTTGTGGTACAGCTGGTTGGGAGTCAGCTACATTAAAATCACTACTGACCAAAAGGTCATGAGTTTGAAGGCAGCGTGGATCAGAGTAATCCCCCAACCATTTGTCTAGCTTGCTGTCAACCTTTGCAGCCCGAAAGACAGTTGCTTCTATCAAGTAGGAAATTTACGTACCGCTTATGCAAGGAGGCTAATTTAACTAATTTACAATGCCATAAGTCCAGCAGCGTGCAAAAGAATGAGGAAGTACTCCATTGGTGACACAAGTGGACAGTGAAGCGACAGCTCCCCCAGTGTCCGGAATTTGAAGCATACCCTCATGAAGCTGGAAAGTTAAATAGCCCCTGTGTGTGTCTGTCTGTATATGTTGTGTGTCTATGGCATTGAATGTTTGCCATGTATATGTGAATTGTGATCCGTCCTGAGTCCCCTGCGGGGTGAGAAGGGCAGAATATAAATACTGTAAATAAATAAATAAACGTATGTGCAGACAGTCGATTTTCTCACACCAGAAGCAGCTTGCAATTTCTCAAGTCACTTCTGACATGATAAAAAAGATGCATTCTACACACAGAATGACGAATGTATAGAGTTTTTAAGGCAAGGAATACTTAGACATGACTATGACAATTCCTTTGAAATATAGACTACAGCACCTAGTATTCATTGGCAATCTCCCATTCCAGTATGAGCCAGGACTCACCCTGCTTAGCCTCTATGGCATGATCTGCTGCCTTTAGGGTATTTATGAAAAATGTCATACTGTTTGCATCCTGTACCAAAAGCCATAATGATAAAAATCGGGACAAGACTCTATGTGGAAAAATAATTTGGTGACTAACAGCAAAACCCATTTGTATTTCTTCATAATAGGAATAATATTTTTAAAAACCATGGACTCAGACCTATGACATCAGAAGACTCAGGACTGAGTGCATGATATTTCATAAACACCTCCTCAAAAACTGGAATCCACTGTGACAACAGATTGTGTGATGCCATTAGCGTTTCATATCTAGTTATCTTGTAGCCTGTATTCTTATCTTCAGATATTTCATACTCCCATGGCTATTCCAGGACAGGCAAGCTGCCAAACAGTGGCCTTCTGCCAAGGTTAACTTCAAGCTGCACTTCGAACAAACATATGCAACTTGATATAGAGGATTTCTCAAGAGGTGTCCAGCAATTGCTACAAACACGGTTAATCATAGTCCTTTAAAAAAACTTTATGGGATTTAGGACCAAGGGGAAATAAGCGGCTATCTGACTGCAATGGAACATGTTCCCCAGGAGAACCTTGTGATGGACACACAGACCACAACAAAGAACCTCTGTCACCAGAGCTATCTTACAATAATACAACTTCATGCTCCATTAATGCTGACTAATTTTCTTTTGTACCACTAGTCAGTACTATTCCAGGAACATATTAAATCTTTCCCACTCATGAGACCTTGCACAAAGTCTTTCTCAAAATATGACAAATGTTCTACTCAGGGATGGCACACATACTCACTCTCATATACACTTTGGATTTAAGTAGTTGACACCCTAGCTCTAATCTAGTTTAATTCCTTATATGTAGATGTATTTGGGGCAGATTAAAAATGATTACTAAATCTTTTCCAGAGTATAGTCGGCCATCCATATCCACAGATTTTGCCACAACTACTAATTCAACCATCCACCGTTTGAAAATATTGAACAGGACTTCCAAAAAGCAAACCTTGATTTTGCCATATAAGGGACAGCATTTTACTATGCCATAGTATATAATGGGACATGAGCATCCACAGGATCAAATCCAAGCAGATACCAAAGGTATTATGATAATTTGTCTGGAAGAAACTAACCTGCCCCTTCGAAAATCCTTCAAACCCATCAGTGACAGCAAACATGTTGTGCCCTTCAGTGATGCCAATTCTGACAGCAGCGCGAACGGCAGCGTTCATACCAGCTGCTGGAGCGCCAACATTTAAAACAGCTACATTGAAGTTAGTCTGCAAGAGAAAAGAAGAAAACCCTCCTTAGATACAAAGCACAACTGCAAGGACACAGTACCACCCTTTTTCCAAACAAAAAGATTACCAAAAGAGATGTGAATCAATTCTGAGTGTAAGCAAGCCACTTTTCAGAAACATATTTATTTTTGGATTTAAATAGTGTTTAAATTCTTCAAATAGACATTTGCTATATTTGACATATTGGACTAAATACAAATTATTGTCCATACATTCAGTCCCCTCTGAATGCTACTTTCCGAATTGACCTCCCTAGAGATTATTTTAAATAAGTGGATTTAACAAGGAACAAAAATATCTTAAATGCAATATATTTTAAAAATGCATTTCTTTTTAATTGACTTACCTATATTTACAGTTACACTGAATGAAATAAATCAAATGAAAGCATGTCGATCAAATTACCAGACCTTGAAGTAACTAGTTAGTAGTAATAGCCTAGCCTGCAACTTTTGAGATATCGAAAATACAGGCAGTCCCCAATTTACAAACAAGATTGGTTCTGTAAGTTTGTTCTTAAGTTGAATTTGTATGTAAGTCAAAAAACCACATTTTTAAAGTGCAACTCCAGTCAAATACACACACACACACAAACAAGGTTTGGATAGCATAGAGAAGGATTAACATCCCTGTGGTGTTTGTTTTGCTGTCTGTGTCCCTGTTCACATTTCACATCTCTTTCTGTCTCTGTGATAACTGGATTTTGAAAAATTTGGCTTGCTGTGGAAACAAGGAATGTTGATAAAGCTTCAGTGAAAACACCTTTTCTCCATGATAATAACTCTTTCAGGGGTGAATTTCCCTTTCTAGGGGTAGATTTCTTCCTGTTGTCTCACCCTTCTTAATAATAATAATAATAATAATAATAATAATAATAATAATAATACTTTATTTATACCCCACCTCAATCTCCGCCAAGGAGATGGGGGAGATCCATACAGTAAACACAATATAACACAAAAGCATAACAAAAACCAGAAAATAAAATACATAAGATGCAAAACCAATATAATAAGCAATACAGCAATATATAATCAAACATTAAAACACAAATGATTACCTTGGGCAGGGCCAAACTATGGGTTGTTTTTAGTTGGATGTCTGTAACATGGGGGCTGCATGTACATGGTAGATATATTTAAAAACCAACATCAGGTGAAAGAGCAAAATTACTGTATTCCTGTAATAAGTAGTTTCTTGTTTCCTTTCAAAATATACTTTTAAAGCACATTTTTAATCAGTACTTTGACAGGGATGTTTCGTGTTTTAAGCTTCTGTGTGACCAATAATTACCTCCCTTCGCCTCACTCAAAAAGAGAAAAGAAAGTAGTGGAAAACTGGTGAGCAGCACTAATATAACAGATTATTTCTTTTTTGACATTGTAATAAGTAACACCAAAGGATTACCTTTTAAATACTGTAATGATTAAAATAATGATGACTCTTTCCAAGTAAGTATCCAAACGCTCATATTACCTTCTAAAGTCAGCCACAATGCACAGAATACAAGAAATATGCTGTGAAGCAAAGCACAGGCTGCCTAAGCATTTGACCTGCAGAGACCTGATAGCGTGTGAACCGTTAGCTCTCAAGACGCTTATAGCTGCTCACTGTCAGTAATGTGTCCAAAGGAAATAACCATGCACAGTATAGTTCAAAAGAAACTATTCATAACCTAATGTAAAAATAAACTAATACATCAATTGCAGAAATATATTTTAATTGTGTTAAGGAAATTTAAACAGGCATTTGCATGCAAAGTTATTTTTTGCAGCTTTATGGTTTTCTGGGCCATTGCAATTGGTTTATGTGATGCCACATGCCGTTTTGTTTAGGCGATAACTAATTTTTTCACCTAAAACATAACCATCATGCCAACTGCCTTGTCTTTTAAATCACAAAGACCACGTTTACATGACCAAAATAATGTGGGCTCACCGCTCAGCTGCTGCACATGGAATGGATTATATGATCTGATGTTGTATTGTCAGTTAAGGTTACAATAAAATTATACAATTTCTTGAGGGGAAAAAAACTTTCAGGTTTTCTTGCTAATATCAATCCAAGCATTTGCAGAGTCATGTTGGAATGCGGCAAAATTGAAGAAACATGTGTGAGTGTATTTATTGACCAACATTAAACAAAAAGTGCACAGTTGTAAACTGCACGCACAGCAAGTCTCGACCATCATGCAATAAATAAATAACAGCATATTCTCCAAAAGAGTTTGCTAAGATTGATCAAATTGCATTTCCTTTTACATACATTATATGAAATATCATCCTGTTGAAGAAAACAAGAGAGATTTAAAAGCCACATTGTGGCTCCTCTATATTTAGCCATGATACAAAACCACGTCTCTCATCACACCAAAGTGAACAAAAACAGGTTTTAAAATATTGATCCACTAAATAATCAAACTACTAAATTAACTTAAGTGTGCTGAAAAGAACTACAACTGGCTCTATGCTGCTCCAATAATTTACAATAAGAACTTTTACTTTACTTTGCAAGACAAATAAGTAGATACAGCTTAGAACAAAATCTTTAATTTGGGCCCATCTCAAATACTAGACCTGTTACTTTCAACTGCACAGACCAAAGTCTTTATTAAATGTGTTTTCGTAATGAAAAACAGATGATAGATATGGCAAATCTATTGCCTAAGACTTGTTTTATGTGTATGTTTTCAAAATTTACACTTCCCTTGAGTTTTAATTCATTAAACAGGCCCATGGTCAGTTATATCCAAATTAGAAAGGGAGATTTCTGAGATCACAGTTTTTTTAAAAAAAAAATCTATATAATTTGTTTTCTGATGTTGGATTTAATAAAAGGATCCAGTAATGAGGGATTAACTAGACAAGGAAAGCCAAATAATTAAAGATAACTCTAAGGTGTACCTTGGGAAGCTCAGAAGCAGTCTTCTTGGTAGACAATAGCTTGTAAGTGTTCAAGTTATTCTGAAAACTCCTGTAGAAAAAAATGATTGAATTACTAGTCACCTCTCTAGGATTGAACAAAAAAAATAATCATACCCCACCTTTAATATCATACCACAGAAAACAACGGATGCTTAACATGAGAAAAGCACCTTTCATGAGACATGTAGAATAATCACAGGATGTTGAACCGTTCCGAGTCACCTTTGGGCTGAGAGGGGGAGTATATAAATGTGGTAAATAAATAAATGTCTCAAACCTACACCTGCTGATAGACTTTATAAACTAGTTGGCATTGCCCCCCTGATGTGTGATGGGAAGTCGTTGCTAATTGCAAGAGAAATAAGGTTGAACACTGTGAAAGCCAACCACTGTATAGCTATCAGCCACCTCCCAATAGACTTAAATCAAGGGAAAGCTTCATGAGAACCACCACTCCTCTTAATATTCCTCCAGCAACAGCAAGAATATCTCTCTGGGCAGCAAAGTCAGGCAATTCCAACTGGAGGGTCTTCCTCCAGGGACAAACCAGGAATGGGCAACTTGGAAGTCCCTGAACAGACTCAGAAGTGGAATTGGCAGATCAAAGACAACCTGGAAAAATGGCACTACCTAGAATGCTCCATCTTGTGTGACTGTAGAGCAGAACAAACAACTCAGCATCTGTATGCTTGTCCACCATGCCCACAGGAAGAACTCTTTAAAGCTCCAGACAGTGCAGTCACTGTTGCCCATTTTTGGTCTAAAACTGTTTAGCTGCTTGTGCTCCCTTCATTTTATCAGTTTTAAACTTCCTTTTTTTACAATGCTTTTGACACAAAATAAATAAATTGAAAGGAAGTAACATGAACATCCAGAAAACTGAAAATATATTTTTTGTAAACTTGAACTGTGCTCTACCACATATATGAGTGGATCTTTGATGGATCTTTGGTCTTTTCATAAGCATACAGCTATGCTGAATGTGATTTGGCAGGCATACTTTTTGTGACAGCCATGATACTTCAGTTTTAATACTGTCTGAAGTATTTTAGCTTTTGCATTATTGAATAGGAAAAGCAAAAAAACAAACAAACAAACAAAAGGATTTAAATTAGAATAGATACTAGTGCCTCATTCATTCTTAAATGTAAAGTTGGCCTCAGAACAATCTCATAGCCAATTCTTTCTGTTGCTTATTACATAAGTCCACCATGAGATGCAGAGCCAACCTTAAGAAGTGGGGCTACGATGTGGAGTCCACAACATTCGAGTGTGGAAAAGAGCAAACCACAGACCATTTATTACAATGCAGTGTGAGAGCCCTGCCACATGCACAATSGAGGACCTTCTTACAGCAACACCAGAGGCACTCCAAGTGGCCAGCTACTGGTGAAAGGACATTTAGTATAATGTCAAGTTTTTAACTTTGTGTTTAAATATATATTACAACTGTAACCTCAATTTGCTTCGGATAGAATAAATAAATAAATAAATAAATAAATAAATAAATAAAATTACATAAGTCCTCAAGAAATACATTTTAGGAAAATAAATATCTTCTTTTTTAAAAGTCTTGRTTATGAAAAATCATGCCTTAAAAACAACTAGCCAATGGTGACTGAAATGCCAAGATGGTAATCTGTGGAGACCAAAATCCACTGATAGTGGTGATATGAAAATAACTAGATTAACTCAATGTATATATTACAAATATACATATCAAGAACTGCCACATACATATAAGTAGAAACAATAGGTTCTTCTCTTGAAGTATAAAGCAAAGTCTTCGTTTGAGAAAATGTCCTTTCTTTATTACACGTGAGTAGACTCCAGTAGTCACATGAAATGACTCCAACCTGCTACCGGTTTCGACTCACAAGAGTCTTCGTCAGGTGGTTGGGTTCAAATTATCAAAAAATGGGGCTCAACTTTTAAGGTGAGAAATTCACCAACAGTCTTCTGGTGGGGTGGATCAACTATTCTTTGTTGAGCAGTACACTCTGCAAAAGGTTTTATTCTGTGGCGAGTACACTCCACAGTTTCAGGGGAACCCATTTTTCTTTTTGTTATTACTCAAGATGGTAATCTGTGCCAGCGAAGGAGCAAAGAACAATAAAGTACCTTCCACGAAGCTGCACAGCATCAGAGAACTTTCTTTCATCCATGGCTTTCTGTACATCTTGAGTCTTTTGAAAAGGGAAAAAATGAACAGACTGTCATATACTAGTCAAGTTCCCATACATATAATTACTGCTACGTATCATTAAGTAATTTCTGACATCTGGCGACCACAAAGCAAACATATCATATATTTTTCTTGACAAGATTGGTTCAAAGGGAGATTTCCACTGACTTCTTTGAGGCTGACAGAATGCAACTTGACCAAGATTATCCCATGGATTTCTATGACTGAGTGGGTATTTGAACCCTATTCTCCTGAGTCCAAGACTAATGCTGAAAATAGTACACCATGCTGGCTCTTTATACATATGATTACTTTGTGTGAATTCAAAAGATTTTACTGGGATTTGCAGTGTAATTATACACAGGTTTTCAGAAGTAGAAACTTCAAATTTAATAGAGACTATATTTGAATGCATGTGTATACAATTGCTCTCAATTTTGTGGAAAACAAAGAAAAAAAACATTAAATAAATATGATACAGCAGCTGAAAAAGCCAAAGGGATTTTGGCCTGAATAAAAAGGAGGATAGTGGAGGAGGGCCTTCTCGGTGGTGGCTCCTCGGCTGTGGAACACCCTTCCCGTGGACATCAGGCTAGCCCCCTCCTTGTTGACTTTCCGCAGGAAGTTAAAGACCTGGCTATTTAAAAAAAGCTTTTGACCAAGAAGTGCATTGACTGGCTAATTGACCATAGGAATGGAAAAACAGTAATGATATCGGATGGTGTGTTGACGATTAGACGATTCAGAATGTAGTAGGAATTTTGTAGTAATGTTGATGTTTTGCTAATATGTTTTTTGATAATGATGATTTGTAGATTGTTTTGCACTATGTTTTGTAAATTGCACTTGTTTTCATGTTGTACACCGCAATGAGTCGCCCTCGGGCTGAGAATTGCGGTATATAAGCATAGTAAATAAATAAATAAATAAATAAATAAATAAATAAATAAATAGTGTCTAGATCCAGGAAAGTCCTGCCAACCCTCTCTTCTGTGTTGGTCAGGCCACACCTGGAATACTGTGTCCAGTTTCTGGGCACCGCAATTTATGAGAGATGTTGACAAGCTAGAATGTGTCCAGAGGAGGGCAACTCAAATGATCAAGAGTCTGGAGAACAACCCCTACGAGGAACGGCTTAAAGAGCTGGGCATGTTTAGACTGCAGAAGAGAAGGCTGAGAGGAGACATGATGAGGGGCATGTATAAATATGTGAGGAGAGGAGGGAGCAGGTTTGTTTTCTGCTGGTCTGGAGACTAGGACATGGAACAATGGCTTCACAGGAAAGGAGATTCCACCTGATCATTAGAAAGAACTTAGCAGTGGAACTCTCTCTTTGCCCCTGAGTGTGGTGGAGGCTCCTTCTTTGGAGGCTTTTAAACAGAGGCTGGATGGCCATCTGTTTGGGATACTTTGAATGTGATTTTCCTGCTTCTTGGCAGGGGGTTGGTCTGGATGGCCCATGGGGTCATTTCCAACTCTATGATTCTACGATTTATGATATGATGGCTTGTAAAAAAGTGATAACACTATCATCAAAGGATTTAATTTTTTTTGTAAAAACACCCATATTGCAGTCTACTTTTTTTTTAATGGAGTAATTGTTCATTCCATTTTCTGCTCCCAAAAGATTGACTGGAACACATTGTGTCCCATGTGTATACACATTCTGCTAACATCTTTACATGTGCTCCACGTAACAACAGACTATTGACTGCTACCAGCAAGAGAGCATGGATTAATACAATGGCTTCCTTTTATCAGCTCACCATCTGCACACACTCCATCAGAGGCAAGCGGACAGCCTGGTTCCCAGACAGCGATACCACACAAGCAGGGGTTTCAGGTGTAGCTTCCAGAAGCGCAAGCACTGCCTCCACCCCCATGCGACTTGCCTGGAAGAGAATCACAAGCTTTTTAAATGTGCAGGCTTTAGAGAGAAAATTATTATTTTGTTGTGTCACCCAAAGCCAACAGAGTGCTCACTTTTAAAAACTTATTTCATGATACTACAAAGAAGAAGGCATAAATACTGTGTATACTCATGTATAAGTCGACCTCATGTGTAAGCCAACAGAAGGTTTGGGGGCCAAAATTATGGAAGTTGATAAAACCCCTGGATAAGTCAAGGGTTATTCTGCAGAGAGGCAAAAGCACCAATGCTATTTTAGGGAGTCAGTCACCCTGGGCTGCTTCTGTCTTTTCCCCACCCAGGCATTCAAATAGGTAAGAATGCCACAATGAAGAGAGCAATGGTACTCAATGCTCCTTTTAGGATTTCACAGAATGGACTTCACAGAATGAATCTTGCCTTTCACTACTCTACAGAGAAAGGGATATATTATTTTTCTTTTCTTTTCTTTTTTTTTGGTAAAAGTTAAGGTACAATAATCAAGTTGACCCAGGTTTTGTAGGTTTTTGTAACATTTCTAGACTTAGGTAAAGGTAAAGATTTTCCCTTGACATTAAGTCCAGTCGTGTCCAATGCTGGGGGGGAGGGTGGTGGTGGTGGTGCTCAGCATTGTCTATAAATGCCTCCAAGATCATGTGGCCAGTGTGACTGTATGGAGTGCTGTTACCTTCCTACCGAAGCAATACCTATTGGTCTACTCACATTACCATGTTTTCGAACTGCTAGGTTGGCAGAAGCTGGGGCTAACAGCGGGAGCTCATCTTGCTCCCCGGATTCAAACTGCCAACCTTTCGGTCAGCAAGTTCAGTAGCTCAGCGGTTTAACCCACTGTGCCACTGGGGCTTATTCATGATGAAATAACTACACATTTCTTAAAATCCTGCTGGTGATCTGTAAAAAGCTGGAAACGCATACAAATTGATCAATAATTTATTATTTGTCTACCTGACTTCTATTTTTCTATTAGCTGAGTACCTTATATGTCTTCTAAAAGATCTAGGTACTATATCCTGATCCAGAAATAGTTGTCCTAGAAGACTAAATCTAGCAAAGGTCAGGGGCTTTGGATACAGCCTACAATGGAATTATCAGACAGACTTCCTTATTTGAATGTCATCTCTTATGGGATCACTTTCTTCTTATACCAGGTAACATAAGCTGCTGAATTTCATTTACCCCTTGGTTAGACAGAAAGAAATTCATTGTTCCAAATCTATTCAGTGACTTTTCAGGACTGAACAACAATGTAAAGTTCAGCCTGATTCCAACATTACTTTCCTACTATACTATACAATAGTCAGCAAAATCTCAATGGATTGAAAGAGGACTATGCAATAGCAAGACTGAAAACACCAAAAGAACTTGACATCTTCTGATTGTTGAAACCGATTAATCAGACTTCACTCACCAAAATCCTATCAAAAGCAGAAGGAGTGCCTCCTCTTTGAACATGGCCAAGAATAGTGACACGGGTGTCATATCCCAGCCGCTGCACCACAAGCTACAAAAAGAAAAAAAAAAGCAAGAGTATTGAGTTCAAGAACAGAAAAGCTGTACAAACATTACAACTGCAATTTTTTCTGAGCCATGACTGATAATGCTTAAACCTTTAAGAATGTCTACAAGGCACAAAGCTTATGATAACATCAGATTCTTTGGTAGGCAAAGCTAATCCCAATGTTTCTTACACTGAGGGATAGACAATGATGGCTTTAATGTATGCTTGTCAACACTATGAAAAAAAGTAATTTGCTTTCATCTTGGAAAAGTATTTTCTGTAATAATTAGAATAAGACCTTGGGGTAATGAAAATGTAATTGCTGGATAATTACACACTAACCAAAGAATGGTTCTTACCCATCATACAAAGCTATGCACATTGTGTAACAACTATTCAACATATAGGGAGAGATTCAAGTCTAGCTCTACTCTTTACTTATGCTGTCAGGTTTAGTTAACAATCTGGCTTTGGACTAGTTGAAATTTTCTGTACATATTACTATACAAAACATATTTTACAATTATTTTCATTTTACAGGTCTTGAATATGAATTGCAGGATTTCTCAACATAGGGAATATGTGTCTACACCTGATGTGGGGAGGAGAAAACATTGGAAAATTCCATCTAGGAACACAAAGGGGATAGATTGAATTTTTTCCCCTTTGTGTTCCTTACCCGTGTCCACCCCTTATCCTTCATAAAAATAGATTGGAAAAAAAGAGAGAATTCCATCCAGTTGGTTCCAACATCAGGGGTTTTTTTTTATCATGTCAAAAGAGACCCAAGAAACTGCAATTTGCTTCTGGTGTGAGATAATTGGTCGTCTGCAAGGACTTTGCCCAGGGGACATGTGGATGTTTTATCATCCTGTGGGAGGCTTTTCTCATATCCCCACAAGGGAAGCTGGAGCTGACATACAGGAGTTCACCCCATCTCGCAGATACAAACCACCAACCTTCAGGTCAGCAGTCCAGCCAGCACAACGGTTTAACCCATTTTGCCACTGTGACTCCCCAACATCAGGTGAGATAAAGTTATCTTTAGATGTTAGAAACTGTTGCCAAAATAAACTTTAAACCATTAGGACCAAAGGACAGTTGTGCAGGTCTAGCAGAGCAAGGATTCCCACCATCCTTGCAAACACATAGAGGAAAAATTGTCACATTTGGCTAATGTAGGGTTATGACTGCCTTGCTCTTCATGGACACGTATAATTACCCACTCATCTTGGAAGAATTTTTTTTAACTTAGTCACAACTTGATGTGTTTTAGCCTTTTATAGTCCTTATGATTCATTGTCTGGCTGAAGTCCACAATTAAGTGTAACAGTTTGTTCCAACAAGCCTTGTGGATAGGTCATGCTTAAACAGATAGTTTTGTAGCACAGTTGATAACTAACAAACCGGGTGACCTATGTTGAAGGCAAAAAAAAACTAAGAGCCAAGCTATACATTATGTGAAACATTCTCTATTTTTAATGGCTCATAACTTGATATACTGTTCAGCAAAAGCAACTGGGAGAGCTTCAATCAAGAAGTAGGATGTTGGGGGACATCCGCTTTAGTTAAAAGTATGTTAGCCCTATTGTAGATATACACTTTAAATTTAAAATGTGGCTGGTGGGCTCTAAACAGTGCAGGAAAAGAACAGGTACAGGTAATAGAGTGGTCCTCTGAGTATACTGACCACGATCCCCAGCAAGAGGACATAATTAACATGGGGTGAATTTTCTAGAGTACCGTATATACTTGAGTATAAGCAAACCCAAATATAAGCAGAGGGGCCTAATTTTACTACAAAAAACTGGAAAAACGTATTGACTCGAGTATAAGTCGAGGGTGGAAAATGCAGCAGCTACTGGTAAATTTCAAAGTAAAAATAGATACCAATAAAATTACATTAATTGAGGCATCAGCAGATTAAACATTTTTTGAATATTTACCCAAAACTGCAATTTAAGATAAGACTGTCTAGCTCTAATTAAACCATTATTCTAACCTTCTTCACTGTAAATGTGCTTAAGTAACCTTCCAATAATAATAGAGTAAAAGAATAAATGTAATAATAGAATGAAATAATAAAAGTAATAAAAAAATATTAATAGAGTAAAATAATGTAAATGTAATAACAATAATAATAACAAAGAAAAATAATAAATGTAATAATAATAATAAAGAGTAAAATAATAAATGTAATAATAAAAACAGAATAAAATAATGAATGTAATAAAAATAATAATAGAGTAAATTAATGTAAATGTAATAATAATAATAATAATAATAAAATAATAATAATAATAATAGAGTAAAATAATACATGTAATAATAATAATAATAATAATAATAATAATAATAATTACAGAGTAAAATGATAAATAACTTGAATCACGCATAAGCCAAGGGGGGTTTTTTCAGCCAAAAAAAGAGCTGAAAAATGCGGCTTCTACTCGAGTATATATGGCATGTATTTGTCTTTAAATCACATGTCTACTTATGGAAATGCCATGAACTTCATAGGGTTTTCTTAGGCAATGAATAATCATAGGTGGTTTTGCCTATCCACTCCTCTGAAAAACAGCTTACAATATCTTGCATTTACCAGCAGCCTCTCATTCAAGGACTGACCCTGCTTAGCTTCTGAGATCAGACAGAATCTGGTAAATTTTGGGTATTTGGTACTAATCACAGGGGAGCTTGGTTTGTATTCAAAGTAGCAACTTACTACAGTGAGTGTGTAACCATTTTGCATTAATTTCTCTATCAATATGGCCCTAGCAGGTGGGGAAGAGAATTTTGCTATACTTCGATATAAATATTTTGAGGTAAAACATGAATAAGCTGAGACACTGTTTGCATAAAGTGGTCCTCTGTTACCATTGGCATTCCAGCAAGACCCTGGTATATTTATTCTAATTTTTCACCAATTGTCTCTTCTTGCTTTGCATTTTGTTTATTTGTGCTCCTTTTCCCTCTTTGGTTCACTGTTTTGCCTTGTTAAATAACATTAGAAAAGAAGTCTGGAGGGAGGTGTAGGAGGAAAGAATGTCCTCATGATTTAACAGACAACATTTCACCAGATGCTTACACAAACCGCTTGGCAAGTTGCTATTCAAAAGCTAAAATTCAGCACAAATGGTTTGCAATTCCATGTTCTTTAGTGTGCACTTTAGTGTGTCAAAATATTTCATCAGCTAGTTATAAAACCTCCTGAACTTTGCTCTGTGGAGGCACATAACTTTTACGGACTACATAGAAACCACTCATATAACAAATGAGCCATTTCGCTATACTATCAGCATCTTTTATTTTCTTAATAACAAAACCATTCTCTCCAGGCAATTTGAATCATCACTCCCTGTATCTGAAAAAAGAATGAGGAAGAGAGAGTTTCCCCCAATCCCATTTCCAGAATCAACCAGGTTAGTCCAACTGGATAGAAGCCCAAATGCAAATTGTCATTCCTATAATGACAGTGAGTTGGAGGAAACCAGTGCTTTAGAGGTAAAAGTATGATAGCTAGGACCCAGTGCTGGTAGCGCTACACTGGTTGTGTAATGCTGCTCTGAAATAGAGAAGGGAACACGTGCGCGAGAAACAGCACCACATGTGCGAGAGACCACATGAAGTGAGAGACATAGCTGCGACAGTCGAGAAGGTAGTTGGCTGGAAAGGGGGAGGGGAAACAGCCACATCTGGAGATCCTATCCAAACACGTTCACAAACGTTGAATTGGAAGGAAGGATAAAAAGGAAGGGAGAAATAGGAGAAGTGCTGAAAAATGAATATAATCCAGTAAGTGTTACATTACCTCAACTGTTCTCCTGTCTTACCTGCGCTACATTACTTCACTGGTATCCTGCTGCAGCTGCATCTCTCACTCGGTGTGCTGTCTCTTGCACATGTTCCCTTCTCTAATTCAGAGCTGCACTCACAACCGGAGTACCACTACCAGCACTGTATCCCAGCTAACATACTTTTACCAGTTTATAAGTAGATCAGGAGCAAATTTTAATCATAGGATGTCTAATGTTAGTTGTTTATTGTAATTCTTTGAACAACAAAACAAACAACCCTGCTCAACTAAGTGGACACAAGGTTTTTTGCACCATCCAAAGGAGCCAAAGAACATCAGCAACAGAGAGTTTGGAGGAAAAGGAAGTGTTTGTCTGCTGTAGGCTGCCTTTGACTTCAGCTCCTGGTGACTGGCCTCTTACAGTTGGGTGCTTAAAGGATTGGTATAATGTGTTATTTGTGTAGGGGGTTATTATGTTTTAATATGTTTAATGGTTTTAAATTAAAGGGTTACTGGATTTCTAGACCTAATTCTATGCCAAAAAAAAATCATTCTGCACCTAACAAATGTTCAGGCTTTAAAATGTAGCTGACACGATCTGCTGAGAAGAACTGGAAAGTTATGGAAAACTGAAGAGACATTAAAATAGAACATTTACTTCTTGCATTTTGATGAAAATTGTGTAGTGTCATCTTGAGCAGGAAGCACAGCTTTAAAGGCCTGATACAAGCCATGGGCTTCCCAGCAACTGTTATGAAACATATTAGAAGGACCAGAGCAATGTTGGAAAGCTGCTGCTTTTGACCATCCCATGCTTGAGATGCTTGCAAAACTGTTTGCTGCTTAACAGACAAAATTAATACTTTCAAACCCTAGTTTTGTATCAAATCAAGATTTTTGTAATTCTGAAAACCTTTCAACAAAGGAATGGTTTTCTGAATTATAAAAATCCTGGTCTGATACAAAAGTGTACTCAAGTTTCATGGATAGTTGCATGTTATCAAATTGATACCCATAGGAGGACTAAATTCCTAGGAACAAAACATCCTGAAATCAGGATCTTCTAAAGAAAGGAAGATGACCTAGAGCAGTGATTCCCAACTGTAGGTCCTCAGTTGTTTTGGTCTTCAACTCCAAAAAATCCTAACAGCTGCTAAACCGGCTGGGATTTCTGGGTGTTGTAGGCCAAAACACCTGGGGACCTACAGGTTGAGAACCACTGACCTAGAGCCTCTTTGACCAGACATGGTCCTCAGCTTTTTCTCAGGTGGACTTCACTCTCCTTTGCAAAAGGAAAACCAAGAAAACAGTGGAAGAGATAGAAAAATAATTTAATTACTGAGTTTGGGCTCTGGCTATATCAAAGCTGGTATCAACTCTGCCTATTATTGATTTAAGATCCCTGACAGGTGACTTCTGAGCAAGGCCCTCGTCATCTATCACTCTTCTGAATCTCTCTCTCGGATTAATTTTATTTAACAATATGTTTTTTAAAAAGCAGAAATTGGATTTCTGTTTTACTTACAGAGGTCATGAAAACAAGGAGGAATGTTCACGGAGGGTGTGTGAGAACTTTAGACTACGCAGAAAAATATCATTCACTTGATCATAACTTTATAGCAGGAGATTTAACTGGCAGCTTAATACTTACATCCTTAACTTGTTCTGAAGTAATTGGTTGGTTATTGGAATCAATGGCACCTTCTGCTACAATTATGATATTCAGCCTTTTCTTTCTAGCCCGGTTCTAAAATAAGAGAAACACAAGATGAACTATCACGATGATGAGTGAAATTGAGACAAACAGCTCATGATCAGATTCAGGTGGTCCTTAGAAGATTTTTCAAGACCATATACTTTGAATACAGCATAAATAAATGCCAGTGTGGTTATCCTGAAATACACATTATACAACTCACTTGCTGCACACTTTGAAGAAACTCTCTACTCATCAGGAAAGTGGGGCCAGATGATTCTGAAACAGTTATTTGCACCAAGCACAAGACTTGCAAAATAGTGCAATAACTTGTGCAACTATTATTTTCTGTACCTGAATAGGATTCCAGCTTTTATAATGACTGCATGTGTTTGAGAATGAGCTGAAATCACCCTGTGTTGCCCTGTTCAGCTATCATTTTCTTCTTTAATTCTCTGCTCACATAACATTGGCCACAACTGCTTTCACACTAGGCCACTTTTCATGGGTCACTTCTCACATATTTGTTCACAGTGTCAACACACTGCCCTTTAACGGCTAGAAAGTGAAATTGCCATTAAAGATTCTGGAACTAAGTAAGCTGAAAAACCTCCAAAGAAAGCTCAAAGTTCTCAGGAAACAGCTTGAAAACCATTAGCGTGAAGGATTACCTCAGAAAGCCGAGAGCACATGTGATCTTCCCATCCTTCCTCCGGGGGATATTCAGGAATAAAGACATAATCTGCACCGCAGGCTAAGGCACTAACTAGAGCTAGGTACCTGAGACAGAGTCAGAAAGGCCAAATGAGTAGGCGAAGCACACATTTCTGCAATTTGTATCAAATGTGGTGCTCTAAATATACATACCCACAGTGTCTTCCCATCACCTCCAGGACAAAGGTCCTTTGATGGCTATTTTAAAAAATACAAGAAAGATTAATGTCCCCACAATGGCAGCAACATAACAACAAGGTATAATTGAAATGTATAAAATGTACTGAAGTAGAGGAGTACATAACTTATAGGAAGTCCCCGAGTTACAAATATCTGACTTATGAACAACTCATAGTTACAAATGGGGCTGAGTCAAGAGGAAGTGAGATAAATCTACCCTTTGGGAGGGAAATTCACTCCTGAAAGAGTTTTCAAGGGGAAAAGGTGTCTCCACAGAAGCTTTATCACCAAGTTGTGTTTCCACAGCAAACCACATTTTCCAAAATCCAATTATCACAGGGACAGAAAATGCGGTGAAATTTCCAAACAGGTGCACAGAGAGAAAAACAAACTCCACTGTGTACAATTCTCCACTGGCTACAGTTCTGATGACAGGGTTCAAATCCCCACTCAGCCAGAGAAACACACTGGATGGCGGTGGGCAAGTCATATTTTCTCAGCCTTGGAGAAAGGCAAAAGCAACCCTTCTTTGAAGATAACTTGCCATGAAAACACTATGATCAGGTTGGTATAAATCAGAAATGAGTTGAAAGCATGCAATAACAACAACAACAACAACAACAACAACAAGGCAGAGTCACAAGCCGAACTAGAGTCACAGTTTGAAGCTGAGAATGTTGTGTGTCTTTAAGTTGTTTCTGACATGTAATGCCTCAAAGTAAACCAAGATTGTAAGTACAACATGAAAATGAGTCACTTCCATGACAAGATATGCTGTTAGGTCAATTATGTGGGGGCCAGGGGCAGCAAAATGGCTGTTTTCCTTTGCAGTCTCTCTCAAAATATTGCAGAGGAATATGACATCTGATCGCATAGAGTTTTGAGGTGCTTGTGCAGTTGAGGTGTTGTTTCATATGTTTTTATAATATGGGGGGGGGGGGGTCTATGTGATTTTGAGATAATGTTTTAGGAGATTGGGGGTGAATTAGGGTCCATAAATGTGGGCTCCAATGTGTCCACGTGGCCTGCCCACTGGCATGACTTGCCCACTGTTACCATCAAGAAAGTTGCTCTCAGCATCCATGACCTTTGCAACTATTCCAGGTGTTCCTTGCAGATACAAAGATGTCTGAACTGAAGGAGCATTGCTTTAGGCAAGTTTAGATGCAACATTTGAGCACAGAGTAGCCAGACAATACAACCCAGTATGAAATTACCTTTGGGCTGTGGTCATGATGGCATCCACAACTTCAATGATTCTGTGCAAGGCCGAGTCAGTGCCAATAGTCATATCTGTGCCACAGAAGTCATTGTCAATGGAACCAACCATTCCCACAATATTGAGGTAAGCATACTTCTTTATAGCTTCTTCATCAATCTCCCCTAGAAAAAAAAATGCACATCCAGAAGTGTCCAACAGACAATCCCATCTAAACTCATGGAAAAGTAAATAGTCGGTCAGCATTTAAAATGGAACTTTGATCAGCTGAACTAATGTGTTTATGAGCAAATTAGTGTATGTTCCTTGGGCAAATCAGATAACAGCTTGAAATATATGTTCTAATCTGCTACCGAGCACAATTCAAAGTGCTGGCTTTAGCCTATAAAGCCCTAAATGGTTCTGGCCCTGCTTACCTGTCTGAACGTATCTCTCCTTACGAACCCTCTAAGAATTTAAGATCTTCGGGGGAGGCCCTGCTCTCGGCCCTGCCATCTTCACAGGCTCGATTGGCAGGGACGAGGGATAGGGCCTTCTCAGCGGTGGCCCCTCAGTTGTGGAATGCCCTCCCCAGGGACATTAGATCAGCCCCCACCCTCTTAACATTTCGCAAAAAAAGTTAAAACCTGGCTATATGAGCAGGCCTTCCCAAACACAGTGTAGCTATGAAACTCTGATCTCGGAAAGGTTGGACAACATGACTGGACAATGACTGATTAATGAAATGCAGAGGACTTATGTTTTTTTATTATGTTTATTGATGTTAATTGTAATGAATTTTTTAATCTATGTTAAATGTTTTTAATGTTTAAACTATTTTTGTACTGTTATGGGCATCGAATTGTGCCATTTTGTAAACCACCATGAGTTGCCCTCGGGATGAGAATGCGGTATAGAAGTTTAGTAAATAAATAAATAAAATAAATAATAACATGAAATTATTTTTTTGGCGTGGCAGTACTGTTCACACTTCATAACTTACCCTGACTTGCCAGCTCCTCTAACAGTCCACTCCATTCAGTACGAAAGATATTTGCTCCGGTTAAGCTGCCATCTCCCCCAATCACACAAAGGTTAGTGATTCCACACTTAACCAAATTGCAGGCTGCCTTCAGACGACCCTCCCGGGTCCGAAAAGCTTTGCAACGGGCACTGCCAATAACTGTCCCTCCCTGTAAGAAAGAGGAAAAAGATTAGGGTCAAGAAGCTCATGCTTCAGATTTTAGTTGAATAGCTTTAGTTCATGATATGCAATACAAAGGCAATATTTACTACATGTGCAATTTTCATTATTTCTTTCACCTACGGAATAACTGGTTCACATGTGAATCCCCACAATGACAGAAGATAGTTGTAGAAACTGCAGAAAAATGGGAAAGCTGGTAATGATCGGTAGTTTTTCTGTTGTCAACTGCCAATGCTTTTTGGTAAAAGAAAGAAGAGCAACATGAGCATAACCTTATCTAGTACATCTGAGTTCAGTATGCATTCAATTATCATTCATACCCTTCAGCTCAGTATACATTATTCTTATCAAGTTAATGTCAACATGGATACAATGACAACACCCTAATTTAGACCAGTGATCACATGGAAAATCAACCACTTGACCACAATGAGCATAAGATGCAGGACAATACTTGCCAGAACCATGCCCTGTTCTGGAACATGACCATACAGCCCAAAAAACTCACACCAACCCATGTCCTGTTTGCCTTGGTGTGTGTTCCTTTAGGCAACCTGACAATTTATGTCAACCCCCTAAATGTGATGGGATTTTATTAGGTAAGAATATTCAGATGTGGTTTGGCTGGTTCCTGCTTCTGAAATATTGCCTCGAGCACTTGGTATTCATTAATGCTCAATCCAAATTACTAAACAGGGCTGTCTCTGCTGAGCTTCCAATATGAAATGGGATCTTAGGATATCTAGGCTTCATAGAACAACCAAAGCAAAGTTAACACAAGCAAAACGGTATTGAGATATAGATTAGGAAGAAACAAGTTCTAATCCTTTCTCCCTCCTCACTTTATTCTCATTTGTGCACAAGACCACTATGAGCATTAAAAATGGGAAAACCCATGCATACTACTTTGAGCCCCAAAGAGAAATTGCATGAAGAATATACAGTAATTTATTCATCTTTAAGAGCCTTTCACCCGATTTACTTGGTTTACACACAGGACACAACATTTACTATCATGCGCGTGCCACTGCTGACTAAAATTAGCATTAGCAGGCAGTTATATATAAACTTTACTTGCAGATAACAGGACTGATAACAAAACACTTGCTACTGGAGAGTGAATGGCATGAAGGGCAAGTTTCTAGATAAGCACTGCAGTATGTTTGCAACTATGGTATATAGTAACATTTCATCCTGATTTGGCATCACCTGGCAATTTTCCATTTCTGTTCTTTATCTAAACACAGAGAGTTAAGAAAGCTCACAAGTAATCAAATTAATCTTATAAAACAGAGGGTTTTGCTGGGTTAGTGACAAAGCATCAACACATTTATTGAAGGTTTAAACACATGAATCACACTTGACTAATATACCGGTCCTAGTCAAGAACAGCAAAATAATAACGACGATAATAAAATAAGAAACACTTGTAGCAGTATATCCTCTGCTGAAAACGTGCCAATACTATTATTGCCGCTTTGCTAAAGAAAAAAGAACCAAAGTTGTGCCCTAAATATGCCCTTAGAACAAGTCCAATTTAGGAGGGCACTAGAACTCTTCATGCTGAAAGGCATTTCTTGGCACTGGAATGTCATACGTGATGCGAATCACAGTAGGCTGGGATTAGCCAATAAAAGTAGAAAATGGGCATGGGATTTCTCTACAACAGGAGCATGGATCAAAGCAATATGAAAGTAGTTATTAGCAAGCAGTTGTATATTTTTTTCAAAAAATGATTCATGTCAGGACAGGAAACAAAAAACAAGTGAGAGAGAAAGCAAGCTCTAAAGCTTAAGTAACATCCTTTCAAATTGAAGATGCTACATCTCTCCATCTAACAATTTGCCTGGGAATATACATACAAAATAACAAGCTAGCCCTGCAGGCCATGTATGCAGCAAATAATCTGCAAAATGATAGAAGGCAAGAATCCTAAATATGGATGCTCTGGATTTACTTTCAAAAATATGCTTCATATATAACCATAGGCATAATGCACATGCCTCGCTTAATGACTCAATTATACTGCACTTAACCTTCAGTACTGGAGGAATGATTTTGAAACAACTACTTAAAATACTCAAAAACACATCATTCTTGGTTCAGTACCTACCACTTGTAGGATGCTTGAAACGCTTTCCCAGTTAACTTCAACTATATTCTCACCTCCATCGACCATGCCTTCGTAGCCCTGTTACAAGAGGGAAACACATTTTGGAGAGCTTAGAATAACTGGAGTTTAGGGTAATATTGTGTATGATAAAGTGTACGATAGACATAATCTCATAAAGCATATACCAGATGATTTGAAGTGATGTTTCTTTTGTTGAATATGATAGATTGAGTCCTCTACACTGACCAAATAATTCATTATTATCTCACTCATTTTGGCAAAAGAAGGATATTGGTGAATAACAACACTAGTGTAGTGAACAATATTAAAACAGGACTAAAATTAACATGGTTGGATCTTGCATAGTTTTATTTATATTCCAGATCTGGAAAGACAATAAATCACCATCTATCATTCAATAACGTGAAGATCTTACTGCTTTAGTTACGCATACACATACTGCATACTAATGAAAAATATGCCAAGTTCAAAAAATTCAGCGTCAGGTATAGATAAGATAGAGTAAAACTCTGCAGAGGCCTATCACCAGCATGTCAAAATGAACAGAAACTAATGTACTTAACATAGTTTTGGATAAAGAACAGAGAAGCATTTGTCCTTTTGACCTGTGCTTTGCTATTTCCTGGTCCATGTGCCAGAGTAGAACATTTGCCCAATTATACTCTGCATTATCAAGGCATGCTAGCAATAGTTTTCCTTCAGTTAAAAATGTAGCCAAGTAATACAAATAAGTAAGTAGTTAGGTAACACAAATGTTCAAGGCTACATTGTATGCTTCTCACTCAGTGTTTATCAGTGGTAGCTCTGATTTTCTGGTATCTGTTTATTAAAAATGATTGGCTTCTTTCATCACAGTGTCATTAGTTGTCCCATTACTGCTCTGTTTTGGAATATGTTGGATGACCAATCTTGAGCTGGGGCTCTAATTTTAACATTTATGTCATTTGCATTTTTCCTGTTTCAGTTTCCTCCCCAAAATCACCAGAAAGCAGAATTCTAATGACAGGTAGGGCCATTCATCATCATCATCATCATCATCATCATCATCATCATCATTATTATTATTATTATTATTAAATAAAAACAAATTTAATGGATCCTACTATTAAAGAGTTTGGTTCATTTTCGAAAGGACATATACAGAAAAGCAGCTAAGACTTTTCTTCTTGGGAGGAGAGCAATGACCAATCTTGATAAAATAGTGAAGAGTAGAGACATCACACTGGCAATGAAAATCTGCATAGTTAAAGCAATGGTATTCCCCATAGTAACCTATGGATGTGAGAGCTCGACCATAAGGAAGGCTGAGCGAAGGACGATAGAAGCTTTTCAACTGTGGTGTTGGAGGAAAATTCTGAAAGTGCCTTGGACCTCAAAAAGATCAAACCAGTCCATATTCCAGGGAGGATATTAGAAGCAAAGATGAAATACTTTGGACACATCATGAGAAGACAGGAAAGCTTGGAGAAAATAATGATGCTGGGGAAAATGGAAAGAAAAAGAAAGAGGGGCAGACCAAGGGCAAGATGGATGGATGTTATCCTTGAAGTGACTGGCTTGATCTTGAAGGAGCTGGGGGTGGTGACGGCCGACAGGGAGCTCTGGCCTGGGCTGGTCCATGAGGTCATGAAAAGTTGGAAGCAACTGAACAAATAAACAACAACAAGCTAAGACCAAATGTCCAACAAAATGAAGGTGGGTTGCATAAAGGAAATTTTGGCCTACAATCCCACTGTTTCTTTTCATGTCAGGAGTGACTTGAGAAACTGCAAGTTGCTTCTGGTATGAGATAATTGGCCATTTGCAAGGACTTTGCCCAGAGGATGTCCGGATGTTTTGATGTTTTACCATCCTTGTGGGTGGCTTCTCTCATGTTCCTGCATTGGAAGCTGGAGTTGACAGAGTGAGCTCATCCATGCTCTTCCTGGATTCGAACCTATGACCAGCACAACCCATTACACCACTGGGGGCTCCTTACAATCCCACTGAAACTATACTGCAGAATTGACATGGGAAAATAATTCCCCATTTTTCCCAGCCGCTTATCAGCCTGGTACTATTATATGAAGTACTTTGTTTCATCATGTTTGTGACACGAGCCAAGAAACAGGAGAAAAGCTTTGCAACATTCATCCGTTTTTACAGTGTAAGTAGTAACAAAGACATGAATGGATCTCTTTCCTTGGTATGCACACCAACTAAGGCTCTAAGGCCCTTTAGTTTCAATGTCCTTAGTATGCACCACAGCTGATGAGAAGAGAGAAAATATGTGTCTGTCTAGCCCTATGTTGCTGGTCAAACTGGAGAACAGGGAACTATTGATCTCTTTACTAAAGTCTTGCCTCTGGGACTCCCTATTTTGCTGAAAGTATTAAAAGGACAATTAAAAGGAAAAGAGATGGGAAATCCTCTGAAAACACGCTTCTTTCAAGCAAGAATGGACAAATATTTTCACACAGAAACTTCCAATGCCAACATGAGACACAAATAAATAGTTCAGTTGCTGTAGCAATGCAACAAAGGGACTGTAGACCACAACACTGTGTTGGTTTGCATATTCATGTGTTTTCCAGCTCTTTGACTGGTGAGTTACAAGATAGACAGACATGGGTTAGCCATGGACAAAAAAGCAGACAGATTGAATTCTCTTTCGGTAGAAAAAGTGGGAAGAGGACACTTCCGGGTGTGTTTTACAGCACCACAATTACACCCAGATCAAAAGCTGGAAGTTTTATTCACAAATGCAAAGAAGGCTTTTGTGTGGCTTTTGAAGTGGGGGAAATTCACACACACATTTAACACACTTGATTTCCTCTTTCTGCACAACAGAGTTTACAGCTCTCTGCATACAGACTTAACTACTACAAGTAAATCCTTTAAAACAAAACATGTGCAGACACTATCAAGAATACAAACTAAATTAAATTATATTTATCGTATCAGGAGCGAACCAAGGGTCCAGTTGTAATGTATTTGAGAAACACAAACTTTAAAAAACTTGGCATTATATTAAATGTCCTTTGACCAGTAGCTGGCCACTTGGAGTGCCTCTGGTGTTGCTATGAGAAGGTGGCAGGGCTCAGACTGCATTGTAGTAGATGGTTTGTGGTTTGCTCTTCTCCACACTTGCATGTCGTGGACTCCACTTTGTGGCCCCATTTCTTAAGGTTGGCTCTGCATATCATGGTGCCAGAGTGCAGTCTGTTCAGTGCCTTCCATGTCATCCAGTCTTCTGTGTGTCCAGGAGGGAGTCTCTCATTTGGTATCAGCCATGGGTTCAGGTTCCGGATTTTAGCCTGCCACTTTTGGACTCTTGTTTGTTGAGGTGTTCCTGCAAATATCTTTGTAGACCTTATAAAGCTATTTTTTTATTTAAGACATTGGCGTGCTGACTGAAATCTAAAGCAGGGGTGGGCCAGAGATGTCACTGCCTTGGTCCTTTCATTATTGAAGAATGTCAGGTGGTGAAATACTGGCGAAACAGTGCAATTTCTCCAGTGGTGTAGGGCGCAGACATTCTGAGATAATGCGGCATGTCTCATTAAGAGCCACATTCAATGTTTTAGCAGCTAAATTAGATGGAGACATGAGAGAGGGGACATGAGAGAACCTCACCACAGGATTGCAATACATCCGAGCATCCCCTGGGCGATGTCTTTGTAAATGGCTGATTCTCTCATACCAGAAGCAACGAGAAGTGACTAAATTAGATGAGTATGCAGAACAAAGTATTAGGGCCTTAGTTTCACCTACCCTACTGGTCAATATGTTGTTTGCTTCCACCACAAGTTACTTAAGAGTTTACCTGGATGATCTAGTAAATTCCTACAAAGAGAATGCCCTCTAAGACTTGTCTAGTTCCTCCAGAGCTACTCAATGCTAATTTCTGATGAAAGTAATTGTTTTCAATAGGTTTTGTTATTATCCATGTTGTCTTCTTTTCCACAGTAAGTTCAGGAATGGATTCCCTGCTGTACTGTATATTTGTATGCAGCTTGCTGTGGTCTCCCCTTCAAACCAAGATAATCACTCTAACAGAATATAGATCAAATGCAATTTGACATTGCTTTAACTGCCATAGTTCAATGCTGTAGAATTCTGAATTTGTAGTTTGTTTAGGCATCACCCCTCTTTGGCAGAGAAGGTTAAAGAGCCTATAAGTACAAGTCCCCATGGTTGCATAAAATTGAGTCAAGGTAGTTAAAGTACTGTCAGACTGAATTCATTCTACAGTGTAGATGAATCTCTAGTAAGTTTAATAATCAGGTAAAATTAGGAAAATGAAACAGGGAGCCGCCATGGCGCAATGGATTAAACCCTTGTGCCGACTGGACTGCTGACATAAAGGTTGGGTTGCTGACCTGAAGGTTGCCAGTTTGAATTCACGAGATAGGGTGAGCTCCCATCTGTCAGCTCTAGCTTGTGGTGGCATGAGAGAAGCTTCACAGCAATATGGTAACAAATTCAGGCATCCCCTGGGCAATGTCCCTGTAGGTGGCCAATTCTCTCACACCAGAAGTGACTTGCAGTATGTTCTCAAGTCGCTTCTGACACGACTTCTTAAAAAAGACAATGAAGAATAGGTCAAACTGAAGGACCATGCCCATTCTTCCACCTCTTGAGAAAAAATATAAAGGAGATACTGAGAAGGAGAAAGGTGTAACGGGTGGAGAACTATCCCATTCCTTCTCTACAACCATATCTTGCTGATTGCAAACAGTCTCACTGTACTTTTTATTCAAGCGTGTGATGCTGTAGGACAGATACAGAATGGGAATATTTCCTGGTCCATCCCCGTGACTTCCTCCAACATTCCACACTTTACCAGGTCAACTGCTGGAGCACAGTCTTACATTACAAGTCAGCAGTAGAACATACATACAACAAATGTAAATACCAACCTCATAGATAAAATATACTTTCGCTTCAACATAGATCCCCATGCGAACGACAGCACGGACAGCTGCATTCATACCTGTAAACAGGAAACAAAGTGTTAGAAAACATTAACTTGAAGAAACAGAATACTTCAATGAATTCGATTTAATAATTTCATTCAAAAAGTTACAGCATCAATTGGAAGGAAAGTGTGTAATGGAATTATATGTTTTCTTGCTATAATTTGTTGATGCATGCCTTTAAATAATTTGTAATTGATGACACCCAATGCCAAATTTTTCACTGAGTTTTCCTGGCAGAGGTTTGCCTTTGCCGTATTTGAGGCTGAGATAATGTGACTTGCCTAATGTCACCTGGTCGATTTCTATAGTTGAGTGGGGATTTGAACTCTGGATTCGACAGACTCCTAGCCCAACTCTCAGACCACTATCTCACACTAGCTTGTGGTTCTAAGATACACTGATAATACTGGTAGTATCCAAAGTAATGTTGTGGCACCTTATAGGCTAATTGGGAGAACAAAGATGACAACATAAGCCTCCATAGCCTGAAAGCGCATCTATACTGTTAAATTAATGCTATTTTATACCACTTTACTATATGGCTCAATGCTATGGAACAATGGGAGTTATAGTTTTCCAAGGCTTTTTTTGCTGTCTCTGCCAAAGAGTACTGGTGTGCCACCAAACTACTAGTCTTAGGATCCATAGCCTTGAGCCATGGCAGTCAAAGTAGTGTTAAACTATATTAATTTTGCAGTCTTCTTTCTCACACCCATCACAAGACGCATACTCAGTCTATGAAAGTTTATGCCACCAACTATGTTGTTGTTTATTCATTCAGTCACTTCCGACTCTTCGTGACTTCATGGACCAGCCCATGCCAGAGCTCCCTGTCGTCCATCACCACCTCCAACTCCTTCAAAATCAAGCCAGTCACTTCAAGGATACCATGCATCCATCTTGCCCTTGGTTGGCCCCTCTTCCTTGTTCCTTCCATTTTCCCCAGCCTCATTATCTTCTCCAAGCTTTCCTGTCTTCACATTATGTGGCCATTATCTTTGCCTCTAATATCCTTCCCTCCAGTGAGCAGCCGGGCATTATTTCCTGGAGTATGGACCAATTACATTCTTTCAAGTTAATCTCTAAGACACTACAAGACCACGTTAACTGATATTCCAGAGTAACATGACCATGTATTTGAATGGATAGCAATAAATGCTTGAATCAATGCAGTTTTTTGAAGTCCGTAAACATTAAATGGCAGTGGAGACAAATATGTGAATCTACAGTATCCTCATGTATACAATGAGACATTAAGACATGATTGAACATCTGCTGTGCTTCAATCAAAATACCATTGAAGAAGTCCCCAAGTCATTACTACACAAAAGAGGAAGATAATCCCACCACTGCAGTTTTCATGGTTTCAGCACAGATTAAAGAAAAAAGAAACCTGGGATCAATTCCCATTGGGTGGTCATGAGTCAATTGCTGCCTTTCTTCTAAACTACTTTAAACTGAGTTGTGGAGATGAAGTTGGAAAATCTGTGGATACCACTGTGACCTCCTGCAAGTAAGGCAGGAAAGAAATGAAAGAAAATGAGAAATTGATCCATTATCTTCACTGTGTTAGATAATGATCTTCATAGAGGATGAAAAATGTGCCTATGAGAATCATCAGCTTACAGAAGAACCTGGGACCCATCTGTGAAGACACTGTGAAACTTCACAGCCCGACAAGATTTTGTGTCACGTGTTGTTGATGTCATCCAATCCAACACTAAGAGCAAATGCGAGACAATATGATGACATTGTAGATGAACTCCAAATATCCATTGGATAACACGTGATCCATCATTATAATTAAGTCATTTGCAACACAGCTATTGTGGTGTTCCACTAATAGATATGTAAGGACTCAATTAGCCAGGAATGTGGAAGAGGAACACAAAGAGTTCTATTTCCAGTAGGGCAAATGATGTGGCTAACAGAGCCAGTCTACATGAAGATAATTATTGTTTGGTTTTTTTTACAAATGTTATCAAATTGCTCAAGTTTACCAGAGGATAACAATTTTACAAAGTTCCATTGCCAAATGCCATCCAAATTCCCCACTACCCTAACTACTTCAGTTTAAAAGAAAAGTCTGAACTAACTACAAGAAATGGGCTGTAAGTAACTTTCTTTGCATGCCTTGATACAGTACTCAAAAGCCTTTTGTTTTTCAACAAACAAGGCAACACAAGCCCATCATTTGCAATCTATTTATAAAAGGAAGTCTGCAAAGGGGCTGTGCACCAGCAAGTATCCATCCCTGACCTAGAAGAGACATCTTTCTGGTCCATCAGCATCATTTGGGTAACTTGGTAGCCATTCACAAGGCTCCAAAGAGGCACTAATGAGATAAGAATCTTCCATTTGATATGACATGCTCAAACTTGCAAGCAAGATGACCCAAATATTTAATCCCATCAATGAAATTGAACTTGACTGTAGTCGGTCTTGCTGAAAGCTATTAGCTACTGTTTCATGCCCTCCAACTGTCCAGATATGGCAGGACTATCCTGATTGAGCCTTTGCCATCCCACTTTTCCCCAGTTTCACTCTTTCCACTTCCTCCCTTTATTTGGGCTTACTTTAACTGATACAAACTAAGCTCAAAGTGCAAAAGTAGTTGCTTCTCTCCATGCAAGGAGAGATGCAAGGGCAGGCAAAAGTAACCTACTGCAGCGTCTCCTAGGTTTTGTGTCCCCCCCCCCTAAATATTTATTATTTTTATATATTTAAGATATTTCTATCCCACCTTTCTCGAGACCAAGACAGCTTACAACCAGGCAGCAATTCAATGCCTAACAATATACCATTAACGGAATTAAAAATACATTCAATAAAACCTTTAAAAATGTATAACCAATGCCTTCATTGTTAGTCTCAATGACCATAAAATCATCTGAGCCATTCCAGTGTTCACTTTTGTCTAATACCGTGTTTGGCTGTTTCATTAGATTCTGAAGGCTTGTTCAAATACCCATGTTTTCATTTCTTTCCGGAAGGTAAAGAGGGAAGGGGCTGATATAATATCCTTGGGGAGGGCAGTGAACAAGTGAGGGGCCACCACTGAGAAGGCCCTGTATCTCGTCCTCGCCAGTCGTGCCTGTGAAGAAGACAGGACCAAGAGCAGGGCCTCCCCAGATGACCTTAAACTCTTAGATGGTTCATAGAGAGATATACATTTGGACAGGTAAGTTGGGCCAGAACCATTTAGAGCTTTGTAGGCTAAAGCCAGCACTTTGAATTGTGGCTGGTACCAAACTAGCAGCCAGTGGAGTTGGCGTAACAGAGGGATTGTATGCTCCCTGAATGCCGCTCTGGTGAGCTATCTGGGTCCTGCCCGTTGGACCGTGTGAAACTTCCAAACAGTCCTCAAAGGCAACTCCACATAGAGCACATTGCAGTAGTCTATACAGGATGTAACCAGAGTGTGGACTACTATGGCCAAGTCAGACTTCTCAAGGTACGGGAAGCTTTTGCCTTCTCAACAGCATTCCAGTCTTGCTTGGCCACACGTCCCCATTTTCACCTGCAAAATGTTGGAGGCTATACTGTCAAATACGCAGACCCGGCCATCCAAACTGAGCATTCTAATAAGAATTCTTCCATTCATAAACTTGCAATGTGATTAGAGTGAACATTTTTAAAGGCCCAAAGGTTGTCTATATCCCAAATCTAATGTATGCTTTAGTAACATTAGGATTTAGGAATAGGAACATTTTTCTCTATCAGCACATTCTAGCAACAAATCCAGTAGCAGAAAACAATGCTCAGTCTACACATTCACACCCAGCCTACCAAGGACACGTGCCACAGGTTGTTTAGCAGCATATAAATGCCTTCACCCTAACTGACTTAATGGTTTCACATGGCTTTATTGCAAGGTTTTTTATGGCATTTTTATACCTTGCAGCTCTGCACTGCTTTGATAAATACGGAGGAATGGCACAGGAAATGAAAAATGATCACACGATAAATTACAGAACAGCTTCCTCATCCATGGATTCAATATGTACAGTGTCACATATCCATGTTTCAAAAATATGCCTACCCTTTCCCAGAAGTCTTGATGGGCCTCTCCAGGTCCTCCTGTGATATTCCATTATATGCTTCCAACCAAAATATAGTCAAAATATAGAGTTGGCTATAATGCATGGTTTCAGGTATCCAGGGTAAGACATGGTGCCTTGGAAGGTATCCCCTGCAAATATGGGGGTCATAGTGTGGCAATAATTTGGTGAAGGCTTCTTAAGTCATGCCTACAAGATTAAATGTTTCCCAATTCCAGCACTAAATTGGCACATGAAAGGGACTCTAGAATTGTTCCAGGATCAATCCTACGCATTTCCACTTAACAGTGGTGCGGTATGCCTGACTCTTAGATCTGCCAGGGAGGGTCTCCTCTTGCTTCCGCCACCATCACAAGTGTGGTTGGTCAGGACAAGGGAGAGGCCTTTTCGGTGGTGGCCCCCACCTTTGGAATGCCCTCCCCAGGGAGCTAAGACTAGCCCCCTCACTAGCTTCTTTCCACAAGGACCTGAAAACCTGCTGGTTCCAACAGGCTTTTGGAAATCATAGAATCATAGAATCAAAGAGTTGGAAGAGACCTCATGGGCCATCCAGTCCAACCCCCTGCCAAGAAGCAGGAATACTGCATTCAAATCACCCCTGACAGATGGCCATCCAGCCTCTGTTTAAAAGCTTCCAAAGAAGGAGCCTCCACCATGCTCTGGGGCAGAGAGTTCCACTGCTGAACGGCTCTCACAGTCAGGAAGTTCTTTCTAATGTTCAGATGGAATCTCCTTTCTTGTAGTTTGAAACCATTGTTCCGTGTCCTAGTCTCCAGGGAAGCAGAAAACAAGCTTGCTCCCTCCTCCCTGTGGCTTCCTCTCACATATTTATACATGGCTATCATGTCGCCTCTCAGCCTTCTCTTCTTCAGGCTAAACATGCCCAGCTCTTTAAGCCGCTCCTCATAGGGCTTGTTCTCCAGACCCTTGATCATTTTAGTCGCCCTCCTCTG